GCTGACCTGAAGGTGGGACCATCCCACCTTATTGCATTCACTTCCAAGGCCAATGGGAGTGAGGTTTGCTTGCCAACCAACATGCTTTGTGCTTGGCCAGCACAAGGCAATAAGGCCTGCATGAAGAGGTAATATGAATGGCAAGTACAAAGAATCCCCTCTTTGTAGTTCCTATTGCTAGAAATAAGAAAAAAGTGGCCACTCAGTATACATAAGTGTGCCTGGAATGATAGCCATGTCATGCATGTCACATGTAAAACCAGTGTCTTAGAATATGATTGGAATGAAGTTCCGTAGCTCTAGTATGAAGAAAATGATAGAATTAGCAGTTTTGTGGTTACTACAGTATTGGTGGCTCTAGAGACTTCTCCCAACTGCTTCTCCTCAGACCTACTGCTTGTCCAGGCCCTGTTATAGAAAATGTAAGAAAAGGGCCACTGTGGAGGCCACAAGGTCAGAGGAGGTTATACATGTTGATAGAATTGTATTGGTAAAAAATGTAATGACTTCATTTTGTTCCTGATTTGGAGAACAAGTAATATTTTTCTAGTTGGTTCAAGCAACAGCCTTTCAAAAGTGGGGGGGGGGGGGGGATAAATTGGTGGTAGACAAAATTTGCATGAATGTAGGAGAAATACAGCTATTAAATCATTCAATATTAGAATATTGTTCTTGTAATGATGGAGGAGCAGGGCCATGGTGACCACTTATCTATCATTCCCACAGTGACCTATGTAAAAATGGCAAATATTATGGTCAGTTGGTCACTTTCTTTTTCCCTTTCATTATGTTGCCTTCAGCTGCTCTAGCAACCAGAATATTAGTGTTCTTGACTTGATGCACATGTGGCCTTCAGCCTTGGCCATGATGTCAGTCACTTATTAATACTGTCAAGTCATTTCTACCCTTTCAGTTGTGTATAGAGGGGTGTGAAACCCAAATTTTACTTCTTCTATGGACATGATATACTGATGCAATGTTCTGTCTGGAAGTTGTAGCATTTTGCTCTTCAGCAGATACTCATGTCTGTATCAATTGCATTCTGATCAGGAGAGCTCCTAAGATGGTGTCTGATTTATACCTCATTCCTTCTTGACCTTTCACCCCAGAGAACTAAATGACTTTTTCATGCTGGGGCTCTGAAAGAATTTTGAAGGCCAATGTATACTTGTGTGTACTCACACCTTGAATTAAAGGTGTATCATTGCTTGTGAGATTGATATTGTAATGCATGAAGTTAAGATGATGAACCTAGATTGAAATAATCTGTATTAAGATTATGTATCCAATTGAATAAATTTCATATTGGTTATATTTTAGACAAGGAAGATCAGGTGCAGTCTAAAATAGTGACCATCCTGAAATGGTTTTTGCAATGTAGTTTTTGTTTCAGTCATAGGCCTAATTCTAAAAACTCAATTAAAATTTATTACAGCACAACATCTTCACAAAGTATAAATATTTCCAGTTTTGCTGGCCTGGAATGGGCCAAGATGACAGCCCCAAATACAGGAAGTGTGATAGTGAATGAGTTCTTGCAAAATGTTTGCAAACCACGTGTTGCAGTCTTCTGTAGTGCTGATGCTGATCTCATTATTCGGAAAAACAATCTGACATTTGCAGAGCTATTACAGCCATTCAGTCATGTTGAACTTGGAGGTGAGTGATATTAGTTCTTGGTTACTCTGGATGCTTATCTATTACTTTGAGAATTGGCCTATCTTCTCTTCTTAATGCCTTTGATCTGAATATATTAAACTTTTCCTCCCCATGGTGGCAGTTACTAGATTCAGATGAATGAAAATTACATCACTATATCAGGTAACTCTGGCTTCAGCCTTGGCCAAGTTGATGCATGACCCCCATTGTGTGTTCTCCATTTGAACCATAGTTTGGAAGCTATAATCATAATGCCACCTTCTTTTTTTTATTTATCAATAATGCTTGTGAGTCAACTCAATAAGTGCAAAAAAGGAAATAAGTTTGGTTCCTGTGAAAGTTTTTCCCCATGAGGACTTTGTGAAAAAATGATATATCATCATGTCCCATCTTTTTTCTCCTTTTCTGAATTCCTTGCAATGTGTTATTCCAACCTTGTAAGTAGCAATTGTAGAGCTGAATCCATTTAAAACTACAGTCAACTCTTGATTGCTTGAACCTCTTTAACTCAAATTTCTCTCTAACTCAAAGTTACTGGGTTTCCCTTTGAAATTCTCACAAGAAAAATGTATTTTCCCCCTCTTTAACTCTGACTGCAATAAGACAAATTTCTTGATAGCTCTAAATTAAGTGCTGTACTTTTCATATTTTTCCTGTACAAAGACATAGATTTCGGGCTCCTCACTAGAAGGCTTATTATAATGAGCAGGTCTCCCCCACCTGATGCGCTTCCAAAGTCCTCCCATTCTTCTAGCAAGAACATCCAGCTATACACTTTGTGTGCTGCATGCTCCATGCTTTTAAACCCTAGAGAGAGGAAGTGCCCACTAGGAGGGAAACCTGATTTTATCTCATTTTTACAACAAAATAATCCCTGATTGTTGGCAATAACTATTAGGTGCTGTGTGCATGTTATGGCAGTTCTGTGATATCTTGGATATGACAGGTACTTACCTGAGTTTCTAAGTACCCTCTGCATTGCTGGATGATGTGTGTGCAGTACTGGATAGCATTGACAGCAGAAACACAGCATGATATGATTGTATTTATACTTCAATATTAATATGCAGTATTATATACATAAGATTGGTACAGTATTTTACATTATTTATACAATTTTTAACCTATATTACTGTATTCATAGAATGTTCGCAATTTTACAGTAACTTATCTTATTTTCAACTCTTTTAAATCTTAGTTAGCAGCTTTTTCCTTCTATACAAAGCTAACTATGGTATCTTTCTGAGAATGTGGTTAGTTATATACTTGAAAGACTTTAGGCACATCATATGTTGAAATCTGCCAACTTGTATTGCCCGAGTTTTCACCTCTAATTGATAAGGGTTGTTTTGAATCATGGTGTGGAGTTGACACTTCTTCACTACTTGAGGTGCTCTATCAAATGGCACTGGTTTTGTCATGGGTTGTGATTAGGCAAAAAATGGCCATCCTCCTTTCTGATCCCTGTTAAACAAGGAGATTTTACTTGCAGAAAATATGAGGTGAGTCAGAGTCCTCTGCAGTTCAGGTCACAAACTTATCATCTTGGGTTCATTTCAGGAGATATCGTTGCTGAAATTTCTACATTATCATAAAGATATTTATATTACAATGAAATCCTCAGGAATGCCATCAAAAACTCGTGCCCATAGAGTAGCCTTTCCAAGATTGTACATTCTGATTTTTCCAGGGACTATTTGAAACTGGTTTTTCCCAAGTGGATGAGTAAACATTTATTCATGTTAGGGTCAGATATCAAATATAGGATCCTTAGCCCTAATATTCCAAGAGAATGGTACATAAAATTTCATTAGTAGCATAGATGAGCATTTCCTAGTTGAGGCAAGAAGTCTTTCCAGAGAAAATGGGGATATTGAGGTTTACATATTCTTAGTTGGAAATTTTAATGATGTAGAATCTGCATCTTCCTTTTAAAAAATTTTACATTATAGGTTATGAAAATTATAGATCCATAGAACAAAAATTGCATCTAACCATTGGGATATGTCATCACAGGTTTTGTACCCAAAAGGATCTTCATAGTTGAGTCAACCCAAAGCAGACCCCAATTATAACAAGCTTTAACTCAAGGGGTGTGCTCCAATGCTCCCTTTTATTCATATTAAATGCCAGCTTTCACTAAGGGGGAGGTATATCTCCAAGCATAAAGCTCAAGCTTCATTCTTTTCATCATACATGGAGCTATGGCTCCAATTTAGCTGTGCTCAAGCTCATTTTTATTCATATGGATGAATGTAATTAAGATCATCACCTTAGAATGCCTGAAGTCTTTGAAGGAAGAGGAAGCTGCACCAATCAATGAAATATTGAAGGAAGCATGAAAGGAAATTAAAAACCAGACATCTGTATAGGTCATCAAAACCTCTTATTTTACTCTGATGAACAAGAAGGGAAACTGAGAAAGGAACTTGATAGAGACTCCAACTTTGTGTTGAAACATGAAAGAAAAAATGGCACATTTTTTATATTGAATAATGAGTTCAAGTGAATGACCCTATGATTATGTGTAACCTTTGTTCTCTTGAAATATCTGGAAGGTTAAAGAAATGTTCAATCCAGTATCATTACTCATGACTTGTGCAGACTTCATCAGATGAAGATGGATTGATGGGATGCAGCAGGTTGGATGATCAAAAGTCAAATTTATTACAGATCCCTGTAACCACATTCTTCTCTCACCAGGGCTGCAATTAATGTGTGAAATTAATATTCCAGTTTTTATTTTTTAATTCTCTGGAAAGATTGGAAGTTGCATGAATGGTCTCATTATATTTTTCCTTTTCATCTCTGTGATATAGTATTGTGAACAAAAAATTTTATATTGAAACTCTACCATGAACCATGAACTCTTAAATCTTGCCTTTAAACTGGGAGAGTTTTCTCACTGACCAATGGGTAACTGGGAAACAGTCCCCTTGTGTAGCAGCCATTAGGGGAGATATTTCCTCAGACTTGCCTGACTAAATTCTAATTATCTTGTTTATTGTGACTGAAGAATTTGTGGCAGGCCTAACAGTCACTGCAGAATGATGAATTTGAAGTCAGACTCTGTTCTGAGTGTGCTTACTTCTGCTGATCCTTGACCAAGTTTAGGCCTATTATCTTATATTGATGTCATCATTGATGCACAATGTGATGTGTGATGGCTCTCAGAAGTACTGCAGAGTCTCTATAGTGACTCAGTAAGGAAAATAAGGCCAAGGTTTCCTTGTTTTGGCTTATGTTTATCACTTCCCTTGGTTTAAAAAATACTCAATTAGCTATTCAAGTAAAATTTCCTTTTTCCAATTGGACTGCATGGAGTTCCCTCATTTTCACAGGCACCATCAAAGATGTCTTTAATCATCCTCATCACATTCAAAGCCTTTCATTGGAGTTTCTTGATATTTCATGGAAACCAAAAGATGCCTCTTCAATGAAGAAAATCCTTGGTGAGACTTCAAGCAATATTGTAGGTTGTGTTGAAGTCTGTTGATGCTTCAGAAGCACTCTCTTTATTCACTGTTGTTTTCCAGGTGATGTTGTAGCTTCCTGTTCCCCTGGTCAGACTACCCAACTTATATGTGGCAAATATGCCTTGGAAGTGGATTTAAACACTCCATGGTATGATTGCTGGAGGCATACATTCCTCATGCTTCAGCATCCTGGTGAATATGACTTTGTGAAACATGCTATTGCATGTTTCATTGTGGTCTCATCAAGCCACAATAACCCCATTGAACAGTTTAAAACTATGAGTGGAGATCTGAATCGCTTCCAGCATGATACCAGTCGTTGCCATATCAAGTGGCTCCTTCCTACTGTTCTCAAGTATTACATCTTTGTACATGATGTATCTGATGGAAATCTTGAAAAGTAAGTCCTCCTTTGAACTTAATATACTTCTTGCTTGTTATGTGTCTGTAGCTGACAGTAAAAGTGGGAAAATGTATTTTCTCTTCATTCACAGAGCAAGGATAGCATTTGATAAAGTATCAGAGCAATTTGGCAGTGCCTTCTGCCACATGCTTCATATGAATTCCAAGCAGCAGGCTGATGAGGAAGAGTCTTACTCATTAACTGACTTGTGGTCTGGATTCATCAATCAACAAGCTGTGTTTGAAGTAGGCTCACTTGGTTTTCTGAATTTTTTTCCCTGATCCCCTTTCTCTTATGGTCAGGCCTGACCATAAGTAAGATTTTTCTCCTGATATTCAATAGCCACAAGTTAATCTACAGGATGATCCAAAAGTCACAAGCAGATAGACTTAGAAGAGCTTGCAAAATTCATGTTTTCAAGTATTTTTATTGCTCAGTATATTTGTTTGGATGGGATCAGTATTCCCCATACATTGCACATGCATCCATGATGCTCACTCTGTGGTGTATAATGCCATGCATGTTAAAACATGTCTTACACTCAGAGACTATTGATATTTTGAAGTATGTATATTGTTATATCATATGTGGTTTATCTGCTAAAGTAAATAAATACAGTTTTGTATCATACTGTTTATCTGATCGTGACTTTTGGACCATCTTGTGTAGACCTTTGACCTGATGTAGAATTTTTGCTGCAAGTATTTCAGAAGTTCCATTTGTGCTGTTTTCCATCATGTCCTTTTCCCATAAATTCAGAATCCAGTTGCAGTGGAAGATCCATCAATAACCCCAGGGGAGGCATCAGCTCTGCCATCACATGTTCAGGAAGGAACAAGTGAATCTCCTGCTGGGTTCCACACACCATCCTCAGGCCTTTTAACCCCTGTCCTTTCCAACATGGAGTCATCAGTCTCAGCCCCTGAGTTGGCCTTTGATGTGACTGATGGGCTGGGTATGCCTCAAAGTGTCATCTTCCATCCTCTTTCCCCTGATGCAGAAGCAAGACCAGAGTTCTATATCAGTAAAGAGGACAATGAGGTTAAGTTCAGTCTGTCATTTACATCCCAATTGCTTCCTTATCTTGCCCTCAAAATAAAGACTACTTTTTTTGCATAGGAGGATTCTGGATTGCAAATGCCTATTAATCCTGAAGTGTGGGGTGCTCTAAGTACAGCTGCTCCCAAGAAGCATGGTGTTTGCCTTACACCCTCTGACCTGGATCGAATTCGCACATTCTTGTATGAGTTCTGCATGAGGGCTCTTTTTCCATTTGTGGAAAGGCAAATTCGAGCCCTGTATGATTCTGTAAGTTTATGTTCTCTCCATGGTAAGATTCTAAGATGTGATAAAAATTGATTGATTAATTGAGCTTGCTTGTCAGATCCTGACTAGCTTGAACATTAATGGGGATGGGTTCAAGCTATCCATACCATACAATTTTTTTCCTTTGCTAGTGGACATAATCACTTTAAAAACATAACAGGTTTTAGTATGTGGTGTTGCACAAACTAGAGAGAGTCTTAAAAACTGCAGAATCATAGTCAAACAGCAATTGAAAATTGAGGCTACTTGCTGAGTGGTTGCAGCTCATTGCAGGTTACAGGGGTTGGAATCAAGTCATGGTATAGTATACATTTACCCATTTATATTTTCTCTCAGCCTACTCTTTATATAATAACAAATTAAAACAATTCATGTAGATATATTGAAAGTATGATGGTTGCTGTTAAAGTTTCAGGAATAATTGCTGCAGGAAATTGCAAACCACAGCCATTAAAATTGCTTTATAATGAAGGGCAAGAGACTGTACAATTATTTACTATAGGAAGGAGTTTGTTGTTTGTGAAAAATTTGAACAGTATAAGCATTCAGTTGGAGATGCAAAGTTGCTTCACTCCCTGGAGAATATAAGTGTATCTGAGTTCATTATGATGTGTTTCACTGTATATTAATTCCTAGTCCACATGTGCCCTTTTCACAGGTTCTTTGCCTCTGCACTGCACATTCAACTTTCACCTCTTATTTACAAAGTAAGACTTTTCTGTAGTATTAAAATTCCCAAAATTTTAAGTGGGTTCAGCAAGTTCATGTTTCAGTATCTAAATACATAAATATCAAAAGGTATTAAAAAAAAGGGAAATTTAAATATTTATGAACCTTGTAATCATCTTAATGTAAGTATCCAAATATCTGAAGTATGACAAAATGGTCCTTTAGAGCTATTGATTCCAAATCTACTATCAACATTAATATTGGTACTAATTAAAGGGTTAAATGAAGATTGAGATAATGTCAGACTGCACACTGCACATATCATGATGAAAGTTATGTACAAATTAAGCATGTGGTTCTACCCCATACTTCTCATTTGCCTGATTTTGTGCTACCAGATTTCTCATTCTTTCTAGCTCAGAAGTGTTGCTTGGTGTGGCACCATTTTCAATCAACAATGCACAGGCAGAAGTTACCCATTTGTGTCCCAATGTCCAAGAATTCTCCATTTCTAGCTTAACAATAGTTTCACAGATGGGACAACTGCTATGATGCTACTGAGGACCATGAAGAATGGGTACATGTGGACTCTATATCAATGTATGGTTTGCAATTTTCTGTGGTACACATTCCAACTATCTTCATAGCAATCTTTATACAGGGTGCCACACAAAAATTTTTCATGTTTCATCAACCTGTATTTTCATTATTTAATACAATAGAAAATAGAATTATGTGTCATATGACAGGGAAACTCAAAGAGTTTTTTCAATATTGAGAGATATGCTCAAAGTGTTCACTGTTCCTTTGGATAATGTGTCTGTTTATACGGTGTTTTAATTTTTAAATAGCCTTGTTCAGTGTTTCTTCCATTATGCCTCCGAGTGCTGTAACCACAGAACATTTGAGTTCATCAATGGGTGTGGATTTGTGGAGGACACCTTTTCTTAAGAGAAACCCCATTTTAAAAAAAAACTGACAGTCTTAGATCAGGAGATGTTGCTTACCACAAGATGTCCCCTTTCATATTCATAATGCTTTCTCTTCAAACTTATCAATAATCTTCTCAATCGTTGGATTTAATGGAGGTGTTTTATTGGGAAAAAAAAGCAAAACTAAGGATGTTCATCTTGCATAAATTAATTGAAATGCCTTCACCTGCTACTGTGAAGAGAGAATGCTGACAACAGCTTCTTGATAAAACATCAAATCCAAGGATTAAGAATATTGTTGATAAGTTCAAAGAGAAAGTGTTATCAGTATGAGAGGGGACATCCCATGGCTAGCACCATCTCCAGACCACCAGATTTTTTTTTAAATGGGTGTTCTCCACAAGAAAAGGTGTTCTCCACAAATGCACACTCCATTAACCCTTCAGCTGTTTGCTCAAGTACATACTCAGGCTTATGTAGTCTTAGTCTGGATATGTTCTCAGGCTCAGAACATTCATTATTTCTAGGTTATTTCACAGCTATTTATGCATGTAACTGCTATCTTCAATAATTATCATGATATGACATTTTCTTGCATGAACTATTAATATTATTTTTAAATAAGCATGGTCAATTTTTATACAAAAACATATCAGCCATTCCCCCTGTGTGAAAGGGTTAATGGACTCAGTGTTCTTTGGTTACAGCACTCAGAGGCATAACACAAGTAACTCCTGAACAAGGCTATTTAAAACACTGCTGTACATTATAGACTGAGTATCCAAAGGAATGGTGAACACTTCAAACAACTCGTTCAACATGAAAATCTATTTAAGTTTGTCTGTCATATGACTTGTCATTTAACATTCTGACATAATAAATGATAAAAATACAGGTTAATGGAATGTGAAACATTTTTGTGTGCCACCCTGTACATTGTCTTTTCATTACCTCTGATAATAAATTGAACAACAAAATTCCTTGAAATTGATTTCAGTTCCATATATATGCTGAGATCTTATCAATTTCTTGGCATGTTCAAACACCTGTATCTTGAATAAAATTCATTGTAAAACCATAAAATTTGGTGGACACAGCCTTGTGACCATGAGGAACACTTTTTCCTGGTCAACGACAATGTCCATCAGAGGGCACTACGACTGTTCAATATAATCACCATTCATGTCCACTATGGCTTGCAGTTGTGGGAAGACATGATAGGCGAACTAAGCTGTCCAGTGTTTAATGTGATGATATGACATCAGGTGGCATCTTTCAAGTCAATTGAGGTAGCAGGCTACTACTAGATGCATCAGCTACTGAACCAGTCCTTTCAAACTTATTCATCAGTTTTCGCAATGCCTTGCTGCTGCATGGTTCCTTATGAAAGCCTGTTACACATCAATAACAGCATAATGTTTCACTGGCATTACTGTTATTGCTATAATACTGATGTACAAGGGCAATCCATACATGTAATGATAACCTGTTCCGTGACATCATTTGCAACAAAATGGATATTGACAAGTGTGTTGGTGATTTTAGGCCAGGGCTTCACTAGGTCTCAACTCTAGGTTTTCAACTCTGAAAAGCCTCAAGGCTACCTTGGTTTCAATGGTGGCAATGGGATCAGTGTAGCCTTGAGGCCTAATGGACCTAACCTTATAGTACTAGACTTGTAACTGCCCATGCAAATGCAGTGATCAATGGAATCCTCTGGTGGACATTGTTGCTAACCAGGGAAATGTGTTCCCCATGATCTCAAAGGTGTGTCCACCAAATATTATTGCTCTACAATGAATAGTATTCAAGATACAGGTGTTAGAATATACCAAGAAACTTTATAAGAACTCTGTATTTATGGTGGACCCAAAAAAAGGCTTCATTGTTTTCTCTGGGAGAATCATGGCACTGAGAAGAAGCTTCTGAAAATAAAGTAAATTCCTGGAATATTTTAGGAAATAATAAGCAAGGTTTACTTAACTTGATTTTCTTAATCTAAGGCATGATTAAAGCAAAAAGCAATAGCATATAACAAAAATAAAAGAGGCATCAATCCATGAATCATATTGCTAATGATCTGTGTGACATTGAGTACAGGCTAAATCAGGGGTGTGCAATCTTTATTGGCATCGAGCCACATGAAAATGTCTGACTCTTCATGTGGGCCATGGAATGCAAAAGAAATTACTCTCTTTTTATGCCCTCAGGGCATATGAAGCCATGGTCAGTTAGGTTGGTTATTAGATTGTGCTGATTGACCAACGGCCCTCACATCTTTCCCACCCCCAGGAAATTTCAATGGCAAAAAAAGCTTTGTCATTGGGAGCCTCCTTCCTTGGGATGTTTGCAACAGTGCTGGCATGAGGAATAATTAGGAGAGGGAAGTGAAAGGACTCACAGTTTATTCATAGTGGATAAAAAAAAAATGGGATGGGCCTTGGGCCACAAAGAACATATTTATCTGTTATCCCATTACTGGGCCACTAGTAGCAGGTCCATGGGTTACACATCCCTGGGCTAGATGTAGTCCATATCACCCTCCATTGAGTCATTGCATGTAGAGTGTATGCAAGATCCATGATGTGGAGCATTAGTCAGTTCAGAGGACATCTTCATTTGAAGAGACTGGAGGCTAGACTGAGCCCCAAGGAATATTAGATAAATATTTTTGTGGGTTTTTTGTATGTTCACTAGAAAATGGCATAACATTAATAATGAAATATGTGAGCAAATGGGAATCAGGATTTGAATGTTTTCAGATCATCTTTGAAATAATGATGATGGGATGATTGTCTTGCTTCATTTGGGCTGCCATGCCCTCATCCATCCTTAAATGACATTGTGGAATATTGCTTGAGGAATATTCCTGACTTCAGCCTGGATGCTTTGCTTCCACTGCTGGAGGCTCTGAACTGTAAATCCACCTATCATCTTCCACAAGAAAATAATATAGAGTAGGTGTGTCCTGAGAAAGTGGTAGTCATTCTTGAGGACCAAGATGGGAGATAGGAGGGTGTTAAAAGATACATGAGGTTAAGGATGGCTCAATTTGTGTGCAAGGAAGCTGTCTTTTATTGCAATTAGAAGCTTGGATTTTTGGATTCTGATTCTTCTATTAAATGTCTGAAGCATGTGACCTTGCATTGCAACAGTCACAGTGATAACACATCCTCTTTGGTCTGAGAGAAAGTCTTGTCTTGTATCTTAACCCATTCACATACTTGTTTTTTTCTTATTAGGAGTTGCTGTGAAATACTTTTTAATTTGCAAAAACTAGATAACTAGAACCTAAAAGAAGGCATATCATGGCATCTAATGACCATACCATTGACTATGGAAAGATCATATTTGCTAGTTATATGCAATTATCTGTGCCTTATAATTTCATATACTTATTATGTATTGAAATATGCATGCACATGTATGTAGGCATATATGGTTGAAGAATATGATTCATGTAAGGATTATTCAAATATTAAACATACCAGGGCAGCATATATGTTCTGTATAAAAGAACTATACAATTTGAGGGATGGACTCCTGCATATATGATACACCTATTTTAAGTATATGGTTTTTATGAAAAACTTTCATATATTGTGAATACACACTCAGCATGCATGCTTTCATTTAAAAAATATGTATTGCTGGAAATGTATATTGTACCATATGCATATGGGATATAATGGGATATAATTTAGATGGTATGGCCATATGGTATGAAAAGCAATTACTTTGTGGCCTTTTCATATAAAATTTACAAGTACTGTATGCCTCATGCTGGAAAGGTTTTGCTGCTCATTTTAATGGTGGTTATAATGCTGGATGATGGCTTGCATGCAATTCCTTATATAGACCATATATGCCCATTTCTTATAAAATCATATATGATTTTTCTGTATGGAGCCACTCTGTCAATAATAACAGACCTCTACATGAACTCATCTGGCAGACAGATACAGGCTGGACACTTCTACTGAGGCCATCTCGGAGATGGTTAGGTACATGAATGGGTTATGTGTGAATTTTACTAATAGTTCCATCTTCTACAAGTAGCCAAGTTGATGATTCCTATAAGCTACTCCCAGATAATTGGGAGAAGTTCTTCAATTCTTTTTCCTGAACCATATTCTTTTCTCTCAATTAAAATTATGCAATCTTACAGGTAGGAAATCGGAAGGGGATCCATAGATCTTTCATTACAGCTACCAAGAAGTGGTTTGCTGGTGGGAAACCAGGTGTAAGTCAGCATGGATCAACCTCAGTTTTGTAAGTTGCACCACCATTTTGTATTTTACATGACAACAGAAAATCTTAAGGCTTATCATATTCTGTGCAATAGCCTCCATCATCTCCGATCTCTGGTGGGCTGTGTCCTTCCAGTGTGAATTTTTTGTAGACCACCTTTTCTCACAATCTCATTGGCTGTCTATTACTTTCCACTCTCCCATCCCTTGGTGACCCTTCCTTATTTATTTTGTTAGCATAGTGGTCTCTTTTCTTAAGATCAATGGTTGAGAATGCTTAACAAAACCAAAACTCAAAGTTCACTCAGATCTGGAAGCTTCTAATTGCAGAAGCACTTCCTTCTTTCACTTCCCCCTTACATACATGATCAAAGTTGTACAGGGTGATGGGGAATATTTTATCAGAGCAATATAACACCTAAACTATAAGCTAGGAGATTATGCTTTTATACACACTTGACTAGTAACTCATGGCAAATCAATTCCAGCACATGCCAAATCTTAGTCACAAGGGTGTGCAACCACTCCATACTGGTGTATTTTTGAATGGTTGGGAGCTACAAACAAAGTGTGGCCATTGCATGGTGCTTTGCCCATTATGAGGAGATGAATTTCTTAGAAAGTGCATTTCACCTTAGCTGTGAAGACGTGAGAGCTGTGTGATTCAAAATTGAAGCATAAGCTGTGTAGATGGAAATACTGAGTTTCACTGTGGAGCTGCACTCACATTGTCTCTGGAAAGTTGTATCATTTTGCAAGAATCATCATAGCAGTATTTTACTCAAAGTGGCTCATTATCATTCAAAACACCACCCACCAAATCATTGCAATAAGTATGGTTATGGGTAGATTCTTGTTAAAAAAAATACCACCACAGTTTCAGCTCTAGAGGGGGTGGCAAGCATTGTGTGACACCTGTGCATACAAGGGCAATAGGAAGATTACTGCATATGAAATTTTGGGATGCCTTCATAAATTGTTGCCTCCTTTTTCACCTTAAAAATTGAGGTAATCTGTCTTCTTTACAGCTATAACCCTGAAGCATGTGAACTTCAGCTGCGTCGCCTTGGAGATCTTGCCCTACAGTTCCGGCTCTATGCCCTTGCATATCAATTCTTACATGCAGCTAAAAGGGACTTTAATGCAGATCAAGCATGGGCTTATTTTGCTGGTGCCTCAGAGATGGCTGCCCTGGCCATGTTTCTGCAAGGCCAAAAGCAATTTCCTCAGCGTTACTTTGACACTGCCATCAATGTCTACCTGAATGTTTGCATGTATGTGGATTATTATGCCTGTTCTAACTTTTAGTATTCTTATAGTATATTATTTAAAACTCTGAATTATTTCATCCCCCATACTGTAGGCATCCTGAATTGGCCACTAGGACAGCTATTTTGAGTACAGAGTGTCTGAAGTCAGTAGGGGAGTATGGAGAAGCAGCTAAGATTTGCTTGAAGCTGACACATGAGGACTCGGACTTGAGGAGTGCTGTCATGCTAGAGCAAGCATCTCTCTGCTTCCTCTTGTCTAGTCCACCTATGCCTAGAAAATATGGCATACACATGATACTGGCTGGACATAGATATGGAAAAGCTGGACTGCGGAAGCATGCCTTGCGCTCCTATCAACATGCTTTCCAGGTAATGATATTAAAATTGAATAATATTAAAATTGATATTAGAATTGATATTAGAATTGCTTGATCTTATTCTTTGCCCTCATACAGTTAGGCCTATTTGCCATAGAAAAGTCCTTGTTCTAGTTACTGTAAACTAGTGAGTTTGGCATCTACAATCTAAGAAAATTACTAATGCATTTGAAGAATTTATTTTTGATGCTTACTCCAACCAATGTGGTCAAACTCCTTGGGTCTCTGGTATTTATTTTTCATTGTGGCTTGAAGTTACTTTTATTTATGAGTCATTGCTGGTCTGTTACTAGCAACATATATTCTTCATTTCCTTTCAAAATGTCCCTCTGGAGTTTTTCCTTCTTACAGTGCCTCTATAGCATAACTACAAGAATCATTTTCCTCAAATGAAAATGTGTAAGATTACCCATTCTCTTAACCCAAAAGGACCTCAAGGGTGGCAGGACCCCAACCATATGTTTTTCTGAATCAAAATTTTCAAAAGCAATGTTTAGGAAATTGAAAGTTTTTACTTTTGCTCATATAAGTGCAGCAGAAAATAAATTTACGATATGCCAAAGAAGTAAAACATTTCCTAAAATGATTTACCCATCAGATATGTCCATGCCATGTGTCAATTTTCCACAGCTGTCCTATTTGCTGGAGTGATAAAGAAATGTAGTTTCTATTTCTCTCAGAAATGTAGTTTCTATAAAAGTTGTGCTCTGAGGGAATTACCTCAATTGTAGGACTTTCTTTAAAATCTTATTTCCAAAATTATATGTTTCTAGAGTTTCAGCTTTCTTTATTTTCCTTTCACTGGGGCAGAAAAGTTTCTTGGAAAATGTCTCCCCAAATATAATTGCCCACAGGGAATGCATTTGGGATGCAAGTAAGATTTTTCCTGATATCTATATTTTGACAGGAACATATATACCAAGTATCACTTTCTATGTCACTCCATTACCTTAGGGTGAAGACATTTCTTGAAATAATTTCCACACACAAAGACATGCCCTCCAGAGATAAATTTGAAAATAAAAGACTTATTTGAGTCAGTACCCCAAGAACTATTGGCTTACCAAATTTTATCTTTCTATATTTGCTCACTTTGACAGAGTAAAATTATTTCTTCAAATGTGTATCTCTCTTGAAAAATTTGCCTGAGGCAATACATCTTTTTAATGAATTAAAATAAATTTGTATCCTGACAACTATTTCGGTATGAAATTACAGTTCTATATTTTTCTGTTTCACTAGGACTAAGAAATTTGTCTAAATACTTCCTCCCTATCCCTCAAAATATATGCCCTGAGGGGATGTTTCTCAAAAGTAGGGTTTACTGTAAAATCAGTTTCCTGAGAAAAACCTGCATTCCAAATTTTAGCTTTCCATATGTGCAGGTTTAAAGTGAAACATTTCTGGGAATATGCTCCTCTAAAAATTAAAAGTGCCTTCCGGAAATAAACCTCAAATGTAAAAATTCTATTTAAATCAGAACCTCATTTCAGCTTTCAATATTTGCCTGTTTCAATGTGACAAACAATTCTTTGAAATCCATCCCTGTGCCATGAGTGGATTTACCTCAAAAGAAATTTTACCTCAAAAGAAATTACCTCAAGATTCTTCTTGAAATCAATATTCCAAGAATTGCTTGCTTAGTGAAGTTCTGCTCTGCATGTCTTCCCATTTTGCTGAAGCAAAAAAAAAAAAATCTGGAAATACATATTTGCCCTCAGGGGATTTACTCCAGTTTAAAAAAATTTACTTTTAAATAAACAGTTTTACTGAAATCAGTATCTAAAGAACTACTTTCCAATCAAGTTTCTGATTTCTATTTTTACTCATTCCACCAGGCAAAAATGTATTTGGAAAAGCTGTCCCACTCAAAAAATGTGCCTTGAGAAATCCATCTCAAAATTAGGATTTTTCATGAAGTAAAAATTGCAACGGCTATGTGTGTGCCATGTTTCATCTTTCTATTTTTTTCCACATTCACTGGAGTAAAACAAATTCTTGAAAAATGTCTCCCCCCCCATAGGTATGCTCCCAGGGGATGCATCCGAAAAGTAATATTTTTCCTTTGATTAGCATCTCAACAGGTATGGTCATCCCAAGTTTTTCATATAACCTTTCAAATTTTTATGAAACGCTTCTGCCGAAGGAAGTTATGACAGAAATCCCATTTTAACTGAATCCTTTTAAGCAGCCATTCAAAACATTGTTGTATGTCTATATGAATGCCTTGCATGTCAAAGAAAGCACATTTTACCCCTGCTGTAAAGTGATTACTTGCCACTTTTGAGTTATTTGACTTTTTGAGTTATTCTAATGGTATTTCCCCATCTCATTAATATCAAAAGTTGTTGGCAGGGTAAATCAGGGACCATTGTTTGGTCTTATCTGTATATTTCTTTATTCTTTGCCATGATTTTTTGCTCTCCAGTGTCCACTGCCTGTATTTATGATTTTCAGATAATGGAGAAAGGTCTCTAGTTATGGATGTCATCATTTTTATTCACTACATCCATTTTGAATGACACTACACCAACTAGCAAATACTCCTGAAGCAGAATTTTGATTCTTTCACCAGCTTATGGATAGAAATATTTCATTATGACCTTCATCAACTCAAGTAGGATTAAGATTGTACTGCTCAATCATGTGAGTATTGCAAGCTGATGAAAACATGATATGCTTCATGATTGCTGTAATGCATCTGTGAGTTCATTGTTGGACATACATTGAATAGGGATTAGAAAGAAAAAACTTCTAATGATCATATATGGGTCCTTTCATTTTTGCTGTGCAAGTTCACCTCAAGGGTATGGATTAAACTTGTCATACACCATGCTCCAATTGAAAAATGAACCCTTGCTAATGACCTTTGACCTTACATTATTACAAAAACACATTTGCATCATTGCTTAACCATTTAACTGTGATGTTCTTCCTAGTTCCTGAGTAATCATGTTTTAGAATTCAAAATTTTATAGGACTGTTAATTGGCCAAGTTTTCAGTTAGTCCCAAAATCATATAGAATGTCTTGAAATTCTCATTCAAAGTTTTGTTATAATAATATTGTTGATATTGACTCTTATATGCAACAATATGATATACACTTGTTGCATTGGTCAATCATTGCTGTTATGAATTCCCAGAGATTTCTCCATATAAAAATTTATCTGAAAATGGACCTCCCTCGTAGTTTGTGATTGTCCTGATATAAGCCTCTGCCATGAAGTCTGAAGACAATCAAATAGAAAAGAACAAGAGCATATGCATATTTCAGAACTTTTTAAAAGTCATTGATAATGAGCTCTTCAATAGTTTTCAGGTGAGCCAAGGAATATTAGTGTAGCTCAAATAGTTACTCTTCTGAAACATCAAACGTTTATGCTGCAACTGTTTCATGGCACCCCACAGAAGGAAAACCATTGTGACTCCATGTCTTGGAAACTGCAAGTGCCATTGAAGAACAAATAGGCAGAGGTTCATGTCATTCTTACCACATTTCATCCATATTCAAAATGAATTCTTTATCTTTGTGCAAGATTAAAATTTAAGCTTAGGTTCATATGTAAGTGCTGTGGCATCCTCAAACAATTTACGTTACAATATCATCAAGTGTAATTCATAAGCTCCACAAGATAGGCATATTGTAGCATATTGCAGTGGGTCTTTCTTTTTTTAGATTCCAGGCCTGTACATATATATTTATTAAGTATGAAAGAGTAGACTTAGCCAGTTAAATTTAAATGGTACAACTATGGATAAGAGCAATGTCCCTTCCAGCTGACTGAACTTTCCAATTGTTTGCTGTTTACAGACATACATGGGCAAAGGGTGGAAAATGGCAGAGGACCACATTCACACTACAGTTGGGAGACATGCAAATCTCATAGGTGATACAGAACTAGCAGAAGCTGCCTTTCGAGAGCTCCTCTCAGAATACAGCTGTCAGACTCCTGTTGCTCAGACAGGATTCCTCAGGGACTACCTTGGTGCCTTCCAGGTAGAGTCAAATCCAGTCTTGTTTCTTTACCCTTCTGCTCAAGAGAATGTGCTTATATCAAAATCAGCAGTTTCAAGGAAAACCTGTATTATGTCGTTGAGAAGTTTTTGCTGCTTGACAAGAGGAAGGCATAAACAAACACTTTGAAGCAAGTGATCTTAGTGGCATGTTTTTATTTGGTGACTGTTACTAAAATTTCCCATTTATATCGATTGTGTGTCTAATGGATCTTTTTTGATGAATGTAGAGCTTTTGGTAATGCTTCCATTATATTGGTATTTGAAAGTACACCTGGGAAGTTCTTGTTACATGGTGAAATCTTAAGCAAAATCAAAATACTCTTATGCTCTTGAATCATATTGCCTTTAAGGCATCTAATTGTTCTCTCTGTATTCAGATTCATTTGCTACAAAGATAAGGGTCTGATATCACTGTGAAGCCTACTGCATCTATGATCACCTATGTTCATCTAGTCTTTACAGGCTGAATTGGATGATGGCAAGGAAGGAGGTAAGCTGCTGGAATTTCCTTTGCCAATATTGAAGGACCTAGAAACAGTGGTGCTACTTTCTCCATCTGTGACTATTGAAGATGCCATAAACTCCTTGCCTTCTCTCCTCCCAGAGTATGTCTAATCATCCATCTTCATGTCTAGAGATGGCAGGATATTTGCTAAAAGTATCTATATAAATGGTACAAATGCCAAACATAACAAAAATTTGAGATTCAGAAGCTATATTTTCTGTAGGTATATGCATCTAGGTTATAGATATCTGTATCTCAGATGCTAAAATTCAAATTTCTTTTCAAAAAGCTTTTAAAATTGCTTTTATTTTCATGTTTATAGGCAGTGGGCCATCTTGCTCATCTCCAACTGTTGCATTCATGTAGGACATTATTCAGATGCTCCCTTCTAAGATTATTTGGTTCTTTTTGTGCAATAGTTTCTAAACAGAAATTCTTTATGGCTTCATTCATCCACATTGGAATTCAAACTAATTTGTATTTGACAAGTATAAATACTGAAAACGTAATCATATTAGAGACCTGAAGGGTCAACTGAAATGCTGACAGACATTTTTTTTAGTCCTTTTCAATCTCCTTAATTCAAACTACTTCATACTTATGTAAATGGCATGCAGTTACATCACTGTGGTTGCAACACCATGAGCAAAATGGCATTCAGCATGGAGAGTGTGTCCAAAGATAATTCTGTGCATTTTAGTGAAGTTTTTGACTGCTGAATGGATATCACCAACAGACATCTAATGCAGAATGGTCTCTGTATACTGTGATGACAGTTTATCTTAGTTTTGTTGTATATAAATGAACTGTTCCAGGCCATTAGTAAGAAACCTTTTTGGCAACTGGCAGATGGCTTTATCCACTTTCATGGAAATGATCAGCCACACATAGGTGTAGCAGTTGTGAACATCTTCAGACAATGCAATGTAGGGAGGTTCTGATGGATACCTCCTAAAGTTTGAACCTTGCTATGTATAGCTTTCATGCCCCACAAGAATTGCTTTGAAGGGGAAACTGTCATATGGACATTGATATCTCATGTCATGGATTGATATCTTTCCAAAGATATCACTAATATTCCCAATTTTTTAATGAAATGGATATAAAAAGCCCTGGGTAGCTGTGGGATCTTTGGCTCAACTCTTCCTACCCTCAGTTTAACCCTTTCAGTCCTGAATTGTTCTAGGCATTGAAAAATATGTAATATAGTTTTTGGGTTTCAACAAGGCTCATGTAAAGTAAAAGTGCTTTTAACATGGTTTCCTTTAGTAAAATAAATATTTATTCAATTATTTAAAACATATATAATTAATAAATAAAATTAAGATACTTAATTAGTTTGGCTAGTACTCACATCCCTATTTTATGTTGCATGTTTCCCAGCATTCCTATACTGCTTTCCATTATCTACCTTGCAAAAACAGAAAAAATTTACTGGAAAGAAATGTATTAGCTGAAATAAATGGAAATGACACCACTTTTAAAGTGCCAGAGGAAATACAGTAGTTTCATATTCATACTGCTGACTTGACAACATGAGGTGAACTACTATTTAATAGGTGAACTATAAACTGGGACTCAGAATCCTGCCATGGCCTCAAGGTCATGCATTCCTGTGTAACCCTATAACACATGCAATGAAAATGCAGGACTTCTAAGTCCTGCCTGGACTGAAAGGGTTAAGGGTCTTCCCTACCAAAAAATGAATATCATTTTAAAGAATTACTAAAAACTCTGAGATTGACATCAAATGGTACAGTAGTACCAGACGAACATGAATCTATTAAAGTAAATGATAGTTACTCATTTTTATTTCCAAATTTTTGGGGGAAAAATTGAAATTTTAAAATTTTATTTTGTCTTATAACTCTTGCAGTAATGAACAGATTTTAATGAATTATGGCTCATCTTGAAGCTTATGAATTATGTTACAAAACTTGGTATTATTATTTAAATGAGCAAGAACTAACAAGTTCAAATACAGTGAAAACATACAAATGAAAAATTTGTTATGCACATTTGTACAAATAACATTTCTTATCCTCACTTTTATTGGCAGTACACACACACCAACATGCCAGAGGTACATAATGCACAGAACATGTGAAAATTTCAAGTCCCAATGTTGCCTAGTTTTCAGTAATAAAATTAAAATACAAAAACTGCAAAAAGCATGTTTTTGGAAAACTGCTTCCCAAGAAAATGACTTCATAGAAAAGTATAGTTCTAACCTATTTGATTACAGGTTAACTTCATCCTGGACATGTAACAAAAAGTATATACATTAATATTATAGCATTAAAAAAAACACCCCAGCTTACCATTTTTTGGCCACTTTTCAGTCACAAAGACCCTTTACGAATCGAGATATCTTGGGCATGGGTACTAGGCACTAGGCAACACACAAATATCTCAGGCTTGGATTCCAGAGGGTCAAACAGCACAAGTTTTACAATTTCAATGATCTGGGAAGCCAATGCAGGTCCTATGTTGTAAACCTTGCTGCAATTGATTGAATGTCAGGCATAGGGCTATATAAGTTGTCTTAGGATGTTATGTTTTTTTTTTTTTAGGGTTTGCACTAAGAGCTAAAAAATGAGGACACTGGTGGAAGCTTGAACTAGCTGCTAGTGTAACTGGTGTAACCGCTGTGTAACCACTCACACCATCTCTAAAATTCTGAAAAGGAACTTGCTGATTGTTGTATTTCATCTAGTGTCATGATTCTATTGCCTTTTCCTTATGCTTCCTTAGGTGGAAGAATTTGGAAGAGTCTGCAATAATGGAAGGGCAGGGATCTCTACCTGTAACCCCTGTGTTTCGTCCCTCATATTCCTTCTGCTCCCAATTCACAGATAATACTGCCAAACCAAAGGTGTACATTGGAGGTAAGTATTTATAAGATGTGAAACTTGATATAAAATTTCAATTTTTAACAGTGCTTCTAAAGCTTGGAAATTCATTGTGTTTAATCCCTTTACAGAGACCCTGAGAGTCCAGAGCACATTAATAAATCCTTTTGGTATACCTCTGAACCTTTTACAAGTTTGCTTGCTGTGGATATTTGTGCAAAGGGATGGAACAGAAAAGTCTAACATCTCAAAGCAATATTTGATTGCCTGCAGTCAGAATTCTACTTCCGTGGAGACACAAGTTTTGGAGTCCCTTACCTTGGAACCATCTTCCACAACAAAGGTGAGACTCTGGTAATACTTTCTATCAACATGGGATGTATTCAAGTGGAGTTGAGAGAATATAAAAGTGCATACATTCCTTATTGCAGTTGGAATTGTCTCTGAAAATCTGGGAAGAAGGGGAGCTGCAAATCATTGGTATGGCATATCATTTACAAGGACCTAGTGTGGATGCCTGTGGCATGAAGAGTTTCAAAGTTCATGGTCCACGACTCAACAACACCAAACAGGAGAAATGTGGAAGGGTCTATGGTATTGACAATCGCTTGAACCTTGTTGTTCATTCCCCCATGCCTGTGCTGCAGGTCAGTTTCATCCACTTGTATTATGCTGTTGTTTCTTATAATATTTTAATATAAGAATACTAATATTTTTTTGCCATTTTCAGGACAGGCAATTTTTCATGATGCAAAATGGTTGAATTCATCTAAACTTGCCTCTTATTTGCCTAGGTGGAGGTTCAAAATTTGCAGTCACGTGTGTTATGTGGAGAAGTGCAAAAGGCTTGTCTTCTTGTGAAGAATTTGGGATCTTGTCCCTTGACTGGTCTACGAGTGGCTACATCGTGGAAGCATAGAATCCTATTCACCTGTCAAGAGATTGAGCAAGAAGAAGAGACCAATAAAGGAGATCCTCCATCTGTGTGCATATCAGAAGCAACAATGATGAATAACTTGCAAGATCCATTTGTGACTGTGATCAAATTGCCTCGTCTCTTTTTGGACAGTGGTGAAGAGCATATGACTCCCATATGGGTGTGTGCACCTGAAAAAGTTGGTTTGTATGATATTCCACTTGTATTCTATTATGAGGAGTATCACCCTACACTTCCTGAAGAAGCTGGTGGTGGCTCCCTGCTGTGTCCAAGGTTTGTTCTTTATTCTTTCCATTTACCTTATAGCTATGGCAATTTTTTTTTCAGTGAGAAAATGTAAGATATTGATTAGTGTAGGAAAGAACAATTGGAAAATAGTAAGATTAGTGAACCAATTATGTTCTCTGCTTTTCAGAATTTTATTTTAATTTTCATCATTTGGGAAGCCTTTTTTTTTTATTTGTCTGAGCAAAAATTATCAAAAATTATATTTTAGTCAGGGTTTCATAGTTTCAGTAATTTTTTACAATATGGCCTAATTTTCCAATTTTCAACAAGTTTTTTCTTGAAATAAATTTGTGACCAATTTTTGTTTTAAAAAAATTGTTTTTACAAAACGAACCTTTTTTTGCTCTATGGAGGAAACTCCATAACATCCTTGTAATCACTAACATCCTCCTTGTGTCCTCCGCCTGGAGGACGCATGACATCCTTCGCATGACTTCCTGTGCAGGCTGTGTGCAAGCGTGTGGGAAATGTGAGTGAGACTTCTGAGAGGTACATAAACCAAAAACATTTTCTGATTTAAATATTGTGTATTACTTTAACTCTTTCACTGCAGTTATCATTTTCATTCTCACCTAAGGGATATCAGGGTTTTTAAATTCAGCAGTGAAGGAGTTAAAATCATTCAAGTTTGACTTCAATAATGAGAGTGCATAATGTCTGCACATGTTTTGGCAGGATGGGACAAAACACAAGAAGTAATTTTCATCCTGGACATCCTTATTTTTCATTCTCGTCCACTTTTTGTCCTTTAAAAATTCCGTTTTTTTTGTTTTCATCAAGGGATTTTTCATATGAATTTTCATGGACAAAAGTATCATTATAATGAGCAGTAATCTCCTATTTGAACCAAACTAACTATGGATGAAATGAACATGATAATATAGGGTGGGTCAAAAGTCCCTGTGCATAGAAAATCAGTACTATTCAGAGAGTCCCTGCACATAAATACAAATGGGGATGCAGGTACAAATGCTTCTTAAGCACTCAACGTGCACTGCTAATTGTCAAAAGTCATATAGGCCATTTCCAGCATTTGTTGTAATGTTAATACTAAGAATGAGGCAGCTTTATTGTTTGTAGTATAGGTGCACAGGGACTTTTGACTCACCCTGTATTATGATTATGGGAGGATGAATAATGGCATTACATAAAGGAGATTACTGATATTCTACTTTGGAAGGGATTGAAGCTGAAAGGGATAGGTGCTGTGAGGTAGCCCTAGACTTTTCAGCGACTTATGATCAATGTCATCATCTCCAAACCATGCTATTATTGGCTTGCTTCTGGTAGTTTTGATGGTTTTCCCCAGGTATCGCATTTTGCATCATGTGATTCGTGTTGAGACCATGAATTCCTTGGGACTAGTGGCTGCAGTGCAAAGGAGTCCCAGAGTCCTCACAGAAGATGCAGACCAAGTGGCTGAGAAGTTTCAACTTTCCCTGGAATGCCAAAATCTCAACGAGGTGTGTTTTCTTCAAGATAAGGCTCTATAAGCTAGCAGCTCAGGTATACTATATGAATAGGAATAGCAGTGAGCAGCTTACACATGGCTATTGCAAGTACTATATTCCAGCACAGCTGCTTTGTGGTAGTGCCACTGGATATTGCAAGATGCAGTTAACTCTGGATTTCTCACATTACATATCATTGCATTCTGTTCATATGCCAGTTTTTCCCATCCAAATTGAGTATCCTTTATTATTGCTTTACTTCAAATAACACTTTCTTGTGAGAATATTCATAATTCAGATGCAAAATAGGGTGATGAAATTATTGAAGTAATTATTGTAAACCAGCCCATTATTCTTATGATTACTGCTCTGAATATAGGTCCAAGATGAATCAATTCTTGAGTTGACACTGGATCAGATGGTGACCTGCAGTCCCTCGTTATTAATATCTGGCTTTCAGACACCATACAGTGAGTCAAAAAAGTTGTCCATGTTTTAACATCCTTACATGGATTTCTCTTATAAATTCCTTGCAGTAAAGTGCACAATTTTTTTTATTTACTGCCATATGGGAAGAATTCAGGGAAAGTGAGTGCTGCTGTCATTTCCTCCAAGTGGACTGACATTTTCCAAAGTTTTATGTTGAATTGATGCGAATGTTCTTTTTTTTCATTTCCTCAGGCTTCATTCTCAGGGCTAAGGAGAGGCTTCATTTCTTCATATATCTCCATAAGAAAATGGAGGATATTAATGGTAAGGAGTTTGATCAAATTTTTTGATAATCAGGTGTACAGGGTGTCCCAATAGTTAGTTTCCTGAGAAATACTGGGTGAATTTGATATGTTCGTTCAGAATATTTTCATTTATTTATTATTTATTTTTGCATTGTACAAACAAATATCCAATGGTTAATCAGTTCTAATGTTAATGATAATTTCACAACCTTAAAGGTGGTGCTCAAACTGACCATCCTGATTCTCAATACATTTTTTTGCAATTTTTACTGACAGAATGACAGATAGCTCTGCAATGTTTAGGAGTGTGGCAAAAGGCATCAAATTCATGCCGTATGACTGCTTTTGTGTCAGATCCTATCCCAAACTGTCACTCCCTACACATTCAGTTTGTGCTCAATGACAACGTTTGGATTGACATACCAATTAATACTGTTATATCTGTTCATCCTCCCATTTGTTTTTAAAGTTGCCTCATCACTCCATAGGATATGATTATTGAATTCCAGATTGCCACTTCACGACCAAGGAGCCATTCACAAAATTGTAATATTCAGTTGGGATCATCATCATTTAATAATTACAACTAATGCAATTTGTATGGTTTCTTTTTCAAATGCTTCACCATACAATTTACACTGGTTTTAGAAATGTCCAATATGATATAAGTCCTCCTTTCAGACATTTAAGGACTCTCCACAAAGGATTCTGCAACAATCTGTTGCTTTTCAATTGATGTAACTGTTGTAGGATGACCAATCCCTGGAGTATCTGATGCTTTCTGTTACATCAAAATTATTATCAAACTTGTATATTGCTTATCTTGACAGAATAGCATTTTGGAAACAGATCCTTGAATGCTGCAGAAACTTCTTTGTAATTCTTTCCAGTTTTCCACCACAACTTCAAAATAAAAATTATCTGCTTCTTTTTTAGACACCTCTCTATCCTTTACAGTAGACACTTATTCATCTGTAACAAGAAGAAATCATTTTAAAACATTTTTCCTTCAGAAACAAATCATATTGTGATTCAAACAAACTGATACATCATGGTAGTCTAATTTTTGGGACACCCTGTATTAGTGCAATGGGAAATATGTTTGTGAAAATGATTAAAGAAGAGGGCTATTTGTCGATTATTGCCTGTAAGCTATTCACATCAAGTGTTTTGAAAGTACAAGCAGCATTTAAAAAATTTATGATATTCACTTTTGACAGTTCTCTTTCAACAACCTATCTATATATCACCTAATGATTTCTAGTAATACTTTCCAGACTTTGAGAATTGTGATATTTGTGTTAGATATTTTTTACAGTTTCCTTTATATTCTCTGATGTGCTTTCTTTCTCCCAGGGTCTTCCCACACTATATCTCAAGTTACACTTACTGAGAAGAAGGTGAGATTTTGTTCTTACTTTGGAAAGATGATTGCTAGCAAGGTTTAACACTTGAAAATTGTTTAAATTCTGGCTGATGTTATGTGTTCTCCACTCATGTTTATCATTGAAGGGTCAGTTTCATCAATATAACATTCTTAGCAGAAACTTAACATTTATGGTTTTACAGTTGACAATGAAGAGGGAAAAATTATAAGAATTAATTTAGCAAAGAAATCTTTTTTTGAGTCCCACATTGACCAATTAAAAGGTATGGTTTGATCATATATACAAAAATATGACTGACAGCACTATGTAAAGCAACCCTGATGTCTTGACAAGGTTAAAACAGTGATCAAAGCCAGGAGGCAAGTGAGTTTCCTTTGAGTCACTGGCCTCTTGAAGCATTTCTAGACATTATGCACATTCACTTCTGGTCTGGGTCATGATTCATGGTTCAAGGCCTGGATGAGAGCATTGCAATATTTTTGCCCTTGTTGAAATCCCAAATCAAGGTTATCAACATGAACAAAGATAGCTCTTGGCACCCCATGGATCTGTCAAAACCATGAACCATGTGTTATGATGTGTCACTACTAAATGTGCCCAGTATGAAGCTATATATTCCCTCATTCCCAGATCATGAGCTTGTCAAGGCATGATTCTCGACTTCTATTGCTTCGTATCCTCAAACACTAATCTCATTCATCTGGTTCAGTTCTGATTTTATTGTCCTGTCCTTATCAGTGTCCTATTGTGATTAGTTTTCAACATGTTGGTGAGATAGATAATGATTATGGGAAATAGACTATGACTTTGATTAATACCCACCTCCACCAAAGGAGCAGGGTATTTATCAATGTTAGTTGGGAAAGTGGGAAGTCAAGTTGGAAGGTAGCATTTGTTGTTGGCTTGTTCAAGGTCATCTAGACTTGCAAGTTGTTACCTGTGTTTTGATCATTATGGCTGTTTTACATCTTATTATTAGGGCTGGGCGATATGGGTTTTTAAAGTATTGATATTGCTGACCTATATATCGCCCGATATTGCGATATCGTCAGGGTTCAATTTGGTAATAATGGTGCATTTATTTTAGGACAAAACCTCTTTATTTTGGTAATGATTCAGACATGATCTTGAATGCATGACATCATGGTTGTTTGTTGTTCAAACCTAGGAGAGAGAACATATTGACAATCTCTGTCACAAAGCATGCATGATGTTCATTTGCTAAAAATCCATATCTCGAAAAGAGTCACTCACACAGGGCGAAAGTTCCATGAATTCGCAGGTATTTGCGAGCCAGGTCGGCAAGCGACGGGTGTCGCCTTCCATTATGACTCTGCCGTACCGGTGGGTCATCGATCTCCATTTCGCTGCTTTATTAATTTAAGATTGAATTAAATTAATGTCATTGATTTCGTCCTGCGGCTCTGCTTCTACAGGTTTGTAGCTGTCCGCGTGGGTTAGGAAAGTGATAATCGCCTTGTATGACTTCTTGCTGGAGGCCGTCATGGACTTGATGGTAGATTGTCAGATTTGAAATGTAACTGTGAAAGAGTCATGAGCCTGTGAATGGTTTTCAAGGTGTTCCTTTTTTTTTTTATTTAAAGGAAAGGTATGTCATGCATTTAAAGCCTGGGAACTGATTTTCCTTGGAACTGGGCTTCCACTTCGTCCCAGACAGGAGAAGTTGCAAAGAATGATGGAGTGGTCCTTTTAGCGGTGAGACTCGATCATCGCCACAATCTAATTGAGGTCGCAAGATGCGAGAGATTAATCGTATTCCCAGAAACTGGAATTTCTCTTCCTTTCAGTGTGGCTACTTTTTCATATTCCAGATTCGTTGCGAGAATAAATTCTAGACGCATTCCGCATTACAGACTTTCCACGAGCATGAGGTATGAGTTTCCAGTTCTTTTCCATCAACAAAAATTGGCAGTGGTTTCATCATACTCGGGCTGACTGAATCCGAGTGCTGATTTCCGTCATTTCGCCTCAAGGAAATTTTCCAGGAAAAGAAACCATCAGGGGAGGATTGCAGTCCTCAGATTATCTACTAACCCCCTCCCTAATCTCATCGGTTTTTGTCAAGGCCGACAGTCTATCCTTACATTGTCCTATGCCTTTATGGTCAATGGCACGGTTCATGTGCTCCGTTTCCCCTCTCCCGCAACAATAGAGTAAAAAAAAAAATTATTATTTTCACAATTAAAATATCTCAATATGCAGACATATCACCAATAAGGCAAACATCGAACGATATCGCGATAATTGGCACAGCCCTACTTATATAATTATAGTTTCCAGTGCACATTAAATTTGACAGTCTCATGACCATTAGATGCATTTACACTTATGATCAGTAAATTTCAACTGTCTGATTATTATAAGGTCCTTGTGGAAATGGAGCAAGGATACAACTACATCATCAGCATGTAACTATCTTCTTGGTATGAATTTATTGTTTCTCTGTGAAAATTGCACAGGGAAGCTCCAGCATCCCATGCATGGAATTATTTGAGCTGGAGAGAGCCATCTTGAAAGCAAAGGCAGCATTAGCAGAAGAAGAAGAACGAATGACAAGCGCTCCTGGGACGAAGCTAGAGGATTGCAGACCAATTGAGGAAGTTGTTAGCACTTGCATTGATCTCCTAGTCATATTTCTCTGGAAAGTGAGTGCTCCTCAACTTGTCATTCAATTTCAAGTGATTTTATGATAATGGTTTTCACTCCCTACCAAGTGATTGCACTCTTCACTTCTGAATTCTGCAGTGTAATGTGGTGGAGGAAGATGGAAAGATGCGAATTGCTCATGGCCTTCATATGATTCACTTGGACAGTCTGGACATTCCAATTTCTACCTCTGACTTAGGAGCTCCACTCAGTGATCGCCCACCTCTGACTTTTGGCAAAGTCCATTTGTCTTTATCTCCAGGTTCAGCTTGCTCATCAGGACTTTCTGAACATCTTGTGAAATGTACATTCAAGCATCAAGCCTTTGTCTCTCATGACTTTAAGCAGACTCGGTAAGTATAGCCCTTTGGTGTTATCTAGTATCATCATAAAAGATTTTTGATGTATCTGAATGTAGGCTGTATCTCATAGTGAATTCCAGTAGTTCTCTTGTGTGCGATTTTAAATCAATGCCCATGACTTTAGCTCTCCCAAATGATACATTTTATTATTTATGTTGTCGTTCTGCTGATTAATAGATAAGGTATGAATAATTAAATTCTCTTTTGCCTTCTTAGCCTGATTTCATTGGATCATCTGAAGTATTTCACCAAGTTCAGCACTGGGAGCACCAATGCAGAGTTTTCACACCCAAATGAAACTTTTTCCTCCATCTGTAAATATGCTTCTGGCAGCATAAAATATATTGCTATTTATTTATATTTCCCATATTTTATCATTTTGGTTTTCTGGCATGGAAAAAATGACTGAAAATCAATTGCATTTCTCTGACATTGGTGTCCAGAAACCATAACTCTGCAGGTTGGCTTTGAGGTCTTGAATTTGCCTTTTTTTTTTTTTGCCCAGGCATTGGAAAGCAATGAGCCATATATCTTTGTGCACTGGAGGTTATGGGTTTTCTTTTTTATGACCAACATATAGGCTGTTTTTGCAGTCCTTAGATGGCATCATGCATTGGGTCAAATGCAGTCTGAAACTTCAGAGATTGGGTTCACAAATGGACATGTCCCTAGTGAGTAGCAGTTGCAGTGTGAAAATTCAAGAAGTTTTTTTAGTTCAAAATTTAACTTTTCAGTTAACTTTTCATAGCCCATGCACTCTCTACCCTTGGTCATGTATACTTGAAATTGAGGGTCCCCATCTCCAGAACCTTTTCCATAAATTCTAATCCCTATATTTGATCTCTCCCAATTACTGCTAATTGTGTGAATTTTGGTTGTTATAAAAAAAACCTGCTATCCCCTTTGAAAATACTAGTACCTGTATGAATAACTGTTTTGGGTTGCTTGGTATTAGCCAAAATTTTGCACATTCAAACTTTGTAGCCATCTTGTACAGGGTGGATTCAAAAGATTGGATGGAGTTCAATTTTTTTTACTATTTGAAAAGGAAACAGAGCAGGAGATTGATACAAGCATCGGATTGTAGTACATGGTATTTTGTGCCAGAGATATCTTGTGGCTTTCAAACACACCTATGATCTGTTGTTTCCATTCTTAAAATGGCTGCTTTTCTTGAAAAGGTCCAAGTTATGGTGTGATGCATGGAGTTAAACAAATTGATAATTTTTATGGACTTACTTGAAGAAAAGGAATACAATAAAAATACAGTTTTTCAAGATTGAGCTCAGCACTCTTCTTGGAGAGTTCAACATTTTTTATTGCTCCACATTTGCCTGGACCATGGATAAGGAATGGGTTGCCCACTTCCATGGAGCCCAAGGTTACTTGACCTAACTTCAATGGATTTTTTCATATAAAATTAATAATTTATAGAAGGAAAATTACGAATCTTGAATATCTCTAAGGAGGAATCACTCAGTATTTAAGAAATGTCGCAAAACTTTCCCATTCATGCAATTCAAAGATCTAGAGTTGTATATTTGTGTTTACAGAAATGTTTTGATGATCATCACATTGAGAAATGGGTGAAATGAACATTATAAAGATTGAACTTTAGACCATAGACTGTAACCTGACATGTAATACTACATTACAATACATGCAAAATGCTTGTTTAAATCACTCTCAAAGAATTTTGTTGATAACTTGTGTGTCATAACATCCAAATGGAGCTCAAAGCAGTGGTGGAGTAAACCACACCTGACTGAACTTCGTTGATCATAAATGACTATATTTGTCTAGTCTATTGCCAGGTTATTTATTTACCAGCCCTCATCCTAACCTATCCCTGTGCTCCTTTCATGCATCAGCGGTCATGTAGTTTATTTGGTTTCTCATTCTTTTTGCTAGGATATGCATTATACCTGCAGAGGTGGTCATCCACAATTGTGTTGCATATTCAGTGATGGTCAGTCTGGATACGAGGAGACCCAGGTAAGTCTTTGATTCATGACTTTCATAAATACTTTTAAAATATATATAAAGAGTGCACCAAAAGTTCTGGAACCAACTCTTTAAAAAAAATTTTGATTAAAACCAAACAAAAAATCACTGGTTAGACAAATAACAGAATATTAGAGACAAATCAAATTACTATTTTAAAGATCAATTTCAAAATGACCTAATGAGAGTGTCCAAATGATGTGGGAACAGGTTGACAATTTCTCACAATTGAGTTTCATCAATTACGTCCCACACATGGAGCAAATCACACTTCAGAGATTCCACACTTTCACTGGGTTTTGAGGAAACTTTCTGCTGCGAAATTCCCCAAACAGAGTAGTCCATTGGGTTCATATCAGGAGAATTAGCCATCCATTCATCCAGAGTGAAGAATTTCAGACAATTATATAGGAGGAACTCTTCAGTGACTTTGGCCTTGTGCGATGGTGCAGAATCTTGTTGAAAAATCCATTCATTTTCTCCAAAATCCTCTTGAGTATTTTTGACACTGTCTTGGAGCAAGTCCTTTTTTCCTTGGGCTCAAAAATTGCTATTTCCACTTGCATTGCCCAAGTAAGAGCATGTCAAAATCTCATCATTATCACTGCCAAATGACTCTTCTGCAAAAGAAAAAGCTCTATTGTTGAGAAAATAAAAGAAAGTATTTGTTCAACAAAATTGGTATCCATCATTAAGTAATAATTGGTGTAAGAGTTCACTGCTTCAGTATAATTCTGCTTAACAGAACAAACCAGACAGTCCATTGGGATATTGCAACAGTCTTTATGAGTATTACCTCTGGCATTAGGCAAGTTAAACTAATCAAAACATAAATATCATCTTTTTTCATATATATCCATCATGAAACTGTCTTTCCTATCATGCACAGGGATATTTATATCCAGATAATGCATATATTTTTAAGGAGGAACAGTGTCCTCTAATTCAAGACCTTCAGGATGTACTTGATTGATTTGACTGTATTGCATTGTTATTTATAGTTATCAATTTACTTTAAAGTTTACAACTATGCTGCTGGACTAGCTAATCAAGCTGATCAGTTCTTCACTGTGGGGCTTTCCAATGGACTTATTAAGCTGTGATTTGTTTCTGATTTCTTAGGTGCAGCCTGTCCTATTTAACCCTTTTAGTGTCATGCGGTCAATCCATAGGCTCAATCGCCTTAATATAGTACCCAGTTAAATGTACTTATTTAATATTTGACAACAGAAGCAATTCTGGATTGCAATTGCTTGGTCCAACTCACAGCCTTAATCCCCTGAAAACACAGGCAACCTGGGCAATTTTCTAGGGTAAGGTCAACAGGTAAGGGAGGGCAATGCATAATGCATTGCTCCCCGTTAAAGCAATTACAATGAAATTACTTCTGTATGGCAACAGGCAATGTCACAACACATTGGAATGCAATTTTGGCAACCCCAAATATCCCAACAAATATCTCCAGGCTCTTGACAAAAAACCAAACAGATAAGGGAATTGGCTGAAGAAGGCCAAAGGGAAGAAATAGTGAAAGTTCTAGGCTAGGTTATTAAGACCATCAACTGGGTTTTTCAGGGGATGCACAGCCAGTCATTAACAGTTAGTGATGTAAGCTCTTAAGTACCATAATCTGTGGAAGAAAAGGAAGCATTTCTAAATCAAAATGCAATCCCAGCTGAAAATTTTCCGAACCATATCATCTGCTACCCTTTGAGATTCAAACAAATGCCTATAATTAGTATAAATAACAGGTTTGCCATGCTAGTTGATTAAGTGCCAATTTTATTGCAGAACTTTGCATTTCCAATTGTATGTATTGATATTCTACACAGCTTTGCAACATTTTTTGACAAGAGAATTTTATCTTTATTTTTGATCAAATGTGGTAATAAGAAAGTCAAATGCAGGAAGGAAATTCAAATGCATCACCATGCTGCTTGGGAGCATCAAATGCAACATAAGGAAAGTCAAATGCGATATATACACAAGGTATACCATACCCATGTTAAGTGGAATGCCTTCTCATTGCTTTTTCATAACATCAGGTGCATTTGCATGTAGTGCTCCTATTGTCATTAATATTATTCTGCAATTATTGATACATCATGGTTAGTCCTTGGAATATGCTTCACTGCAGTGAAGTTAGCTGGGACACTGCCTTGATAAATAACTTTTCATCTTAAAAAACTCCCTTTTATTGAGATATTTTATTGTTGGATTCAATTTGACCCCACAATAACAGTTACACAATGAAAAAAACAAGGATACCACTTTGATGATTAAGAAGAGCTCCAAATATTCCTCTCAGTTTTTTCATACTTGAAATCTGGCCTCCTGCCCCAAAAGGTTGGTGGTAGCATACATGTATATCTGTTGCATTTGACTTTTCTTATGTCGCTTTTGACACTCCCAAGCAGCACAGTGACACTTTTGAATTTCCTTGTTGCATTTGACTTTCTTATTACCACATTTGACCTAGAAAACCTATACTGAAGAATATTCAGAAAAGAAGCCTCCTTTCATAGGTTGAGAACTATTGGGTGCCAAGAAACCTTTTGCTAGGGGCCTACAGCCAGAAGTACACAACTGACCTGAGTGAGATAATTATGGCCAGCCTTCTTGGTGATGGTGAGGAAAACCAAGTGGTGGGTTGTATATGTGCAAACACCATGGAAAATTGCGCTGACTTCATTAGCAGAAAGTGCATGTTCACACACATGGTCCACCACTTGTTTTTCCTCTCTATCACCAAGAAGACCAACCATGATCATTTCACCTGAGAAGCAGAAAAAACAAGCTTTAGAATAATGCTAAGAACATTGAGGTCTGTTGCATACTTCTGGCTGTAAACACCTAGCAAAAGGTTTTTTGGCACCCAGTAGCCTAGCCAGTCTTAGGTGATATAATGTAAATTAGTATTTTTTTCAAATATAATCTAGAAAAATCCAAAAACATTATAGTGCCAGCCTGTTTGTACCTGTTGAATGTATCTATAACTTGTTGGACTTCGTCATTTTTATTGATTGAATCAAATGAACAGTAGGATTCTTTTTTAATCAATCTCAGCATTGCTCTATTCTGTTTATTTTGAACACTGTAGGCTGAGGTGTTTTAATCTTACGTCTTAATCCCTCCTGTTTTTTTCTCCAGTTGCTTTGAACAAGTTGAAGTTCATTGAGACTTGGTGAAGTGGGGTAATGGTAATGGGAAAAAACATAATTGAACTTTGCAGAATGGTAGTAATCATGCCAGCAAGAAAATTGCAGCAAAATTGAATCCTATACCCTCCAAAGAATGAACAAGAGATTCCAATGGATGTGAAATTTAAACTCTGAAATGACTGCTTTTTCAAGAACTTTTCCCCCCCCCCCCCCCCAAATGGAGCAATTGTAGCATACCAAGAGGTAATAGTAACATTGTATTGCTGAGTAAATTCTTTCTGACTACACCAAGAATCAAATGGGGCAATTTTGTTTTATGTCCCACATTAGCTGGATGAATTATGGAAAGAGAGCATAAATTTAGGCTAAAAATAGCAGGTGACAATCTAAGGCAGTCAGAGCCATTTTCTCATGATTTTCATCCCTTTGAAATGGTTTGAATCAAAAAGGGAGTAAAATGGAGAGGAATCTCAACCTCATCCAACCCAATTGTCTTCATCCCTTTTTTACTTTTCCTCATACAGGATGATCCAAAAGTCACACCCACCAACCATATAGACATACTATTTTCTGTTTATAGAAATCATTACAACCATAGACTCACTACATTGCGACACTGGTGAAGAGTGGCAACATTAGACATTACATTCATGTTATGAATGTAATATTCATACATTCATGCGCACAGCAGCTTGACCTTGACTGGCCATATGGCCTCAGTTCTTAGTTCTTCCTTGAAGAAGAAGGATGCTGCTCTCACAACAGTGTGTGTTTATTCTTGAATATTATTTCATGACTAAATCTTATGCACAGTCCGGGCAGCATTTGCAGAATAATTTTCTTAACACAGAAACACCAAATAACTCAACAATAATTAATTTAGTTCAGTGCTTTTGGGACACAGGTAGTGTGAGTGACAAAAGGCATTGTTTGGTGTGCATGACTTTTGGATCACCCTGTATTTTCTTTTGTTTCCTTTCTCAATAATCATCTAATCCAGCAATCCTATTTGCATAAGTTCAAAATGGGAAAATTTTGAACCATCTTTAGCAATCAATGGAGTGGTGACTTAGACTCATAGGTTCCAGCTTATGCAGAGACTTGATTGGATGTAAGACAGAGGCTTCGGGGAGATCCTCAGAAATGTAATATAAGGCACTGCACTCTTAGATTAACCCCTTCCATGTTCATTTTTTAATGAAAATTTCAGTAACAGAATACATCAACTTGTAACATAATTTTGAAATATAGTATTATTTCTATATTTCTATTGACATGCACAACAGGAGTAAACATGTATGCATTAAAATTTAATCCCTTCAGAATTTTGTCTAAACTGTGTTCAGGCAAATCATAGAAGGGGTCAAGGCATGACAGATTATGACTCTTGACTTGACTTTAGTGAACGTCCAAGAAGAATCAAAATAAATTATCTGCTCCTAGATTGTCTTCCATATTCCCCTTTTGACATTTTTCTGGTTGTGCCTCTGGGCTCATTTTGCCATGCCTCCAACATCACTGAAGTCAGTACCAGGACCTGAGACTTTTGGAAGTAGTTGGTATCTTGCATAAAATTCTTAGTGATAATCTCTGGGAGTCAGAGGTCTCATTCATGCCATCTTAGTCATCTCTTCTCAAGAGTTACCACCATTGCTGTATTCTCCCCGATTCCTTTTCTTTTCTGGGCTTGTCTCACCCACCATTTGTGTATTAAATGGTTTTTCAGTAAATTTACCCATAGCAAGATTTATGCCAATTATTAGCAGCATAGAAAATACTCTATATGTGCAAAGTCCCTTTTACCCCATGATACCCCAAGTTACAATTTCCCCATGATCCAACTTTCCATGGGGCAATAGTAATACTGCACTCACCAAGTGATATGATAGAACCTGAGTCTGATTTTGCTAATATACTCATTTTTTAATATACATTTTTTTGTGTACACACAATTGGGCATTATTATGTGCAAATTGAAGGGATTTTAAGCCAAATATGGAGGAGCTCAAATTAAATAATATAAAAAGCATGTTATATGCACAAAATTAGATGACTGTACCTCATGTATTTACTGAATGAAGAAGCTATGGCACCTCATACTATAGTAAGCATTAGGTTTGGACTAAAATACATTTTGCCTTTCTTTTTCAGTAATAAGCCCAGTCATGCCAAGCGATATCACCCTCGAGTATCGCTGCCGTTCACGTGGGTTGGTGCTACAGTCTTGCAACTCTCTCTGGGACCACTGGAATCGAAGACAGTCAACCTTCTTGCATCTTTCACTCGACCTGGTGTCTACAATGTGGCATCTCTTATGCTTGCATGTTCGTGGTCACAGTATGATTCCCTCCATGCCCAGGTGCAGCCTTGTGAATCCATCTTGACATTGTCTCAAACCTGATTTGAGCCTCTCATTTCCTATCAGCAAAATGCAGTAGCAATTCATGTGATGGGGAAAATCTTCTCCTTTCTCACCATGATTGTGATTACAGAAGTGATCTTGTTACCAGAGAGGATATGCACATGGCATATGTTCCTTTGATCCTCATTATGGTGACATTTCTTTCTCATCCCAGATTTTACTTCATATCTGTGAGAATGATACTATTCACCCTAGAATATATGATCCTCAGTTTCCAACCTTATGATGCCATTTATTATTCAAGACAGTAGTATTTGTTTATTTGCATATTTACTTTTATATGCATCTGCTGTGTCCTCAACTCAAATAATTCAGGTTTTCATGCCTCAGAATGGCTATTGTTGTATGCATCCATACAAATGAGTTCAACCACTTATGTATGGACCTGAGTCTCCAGAACTCAGTCCTCCTTTATTGGGGAAGATGAAAGTCATCCATTCTATGAGGTATCCATATAAATATAGACAAGGAGGAAGTAGGTAGAGATATTCATTTCATTGATGGAGGTTCACTTTCTCAGAATGGTCAGCTGCACAGTGTAAATTCATGGCTCAACATGTTATTTTTATTCCTGGCTTGATATCTACTAGGATGGAAACCTATCACAAGCACATTCACTCTAATGAGAGAGTGTAGGGAGGCAATCATGCCAAATAAAAACTGAGGGAAGGAGTCTTTGGTTTGGAGGACAATAGAACAAGAAGAGGGAGATGTGATGTCAAGATGTGATGTATTCCTGATTATTCCAAGGAATGTTCATGTTGTTGCATTTCATGGCAAGGACCTTTTGCCAAGGATGAGGGAATTCAAGGAAGAGATCTTTGGAACACACTTGGTCGCACAACTTTGACATTTTTTCTATCCTTTGTGTCAGGGGGGCATTTGGGGCAGTGGGGATGGGAATAAATGCACTTGCTCCATCATGTTCATCATTCACATCAAAGACATTGCACTCGGTTGTCACAAATACAAAAGTACAGTCAGGGCAGAAAGTGAAGAGTTCTAGAGATCTCAGTGAGTGCAGCATGAAGTAACAGAGTTGGAGAGAGGGGATAAGAAGTGATTTTTTATATTTAAAAAAGAAAGAAAATATAAAAAAGTCACAGCTGGGCACACATCACTGTGCAATGGAAAAACATTTTCCCCCATGTCTCCAATCTAGGGAAGCAGCAACTGAAAGCTGGAAAAGGGGCCCAAGTAAGCGTATGATTGTGGGGGAAACTACACTGAGCATTCTGTATTTACCCCACTTGTCACTTCCCATCTCTGGCTGGATTTTTCCTTGTTTTGCATTCTCTATCATCCCATGGCACTAACAGAGGACTATGTCCTGATAAATATTTGGAAGATCTAAACCAACCAACCACTCCCAGCAGTCACCAGTGCCGATCAACAACAACAGATCAACAGCAACAAGCTCAGGTAACAGTTGGTCAACAACACTTATTTCGAGCATTGTCGATGGAAGGCTAGCTTCAGCGACCACTTGGACACATTCTTGAATGTGAAAGGCAACAGTTCTTCTGGATGTACCGGTGATGGCAATATCTGAAACCATAGTTCCTCAAGAACTCATAGCACGTAAGACTCCCTGCAATGTTGGTTATTCTATCTGCACATGCTTCCCCTGTTGAGAAATGAAAACCATGATCATATTTAGGGTTGCTATATATTTTTTTAAGTTTAAAAAGCATCTGGATGAATCATGATGATGTGAATATGAAGAGCTGATCCAAAATCTGCCTCTATTGGCACACCTACACTGTGATGCAGTTTTTGATTAGAGGTACCCAAAAGCTGAAACTGAAAGTGGATTGGACAGCATCAGATATGATGGTATTCACATTTGTTTCATTATTTACCCCTTAGGTGGGAATCATAGCATTGTGATACTTCTACAAACCTTGGGTAAACCAAGGTCTCCTCCTTAGAATTTTGCTTTCATCAGATTTTAAGGGAGTTCTGAGTGGACAAAAACTTAAGTGATTATTTAAGCAGCTTGTAATAGGTTAATATTTGTTTTGTCTTTTATTTGCAGGGTATCTATAAAACTATTGACACATTACATATTTTCATAGCTTTTAAATAAGCAAAGAAGGGGTCATACAGGAGAGCACCCAATCATGTGCACACCTTCCAGTTTCTTACAACTTATTGTAATTTTCAGTACAGAGAACATGTAATAGCTATTGGTACACACTTCCAATCCACCTTTCCAAAAAGGTGAATTGGAAGGGCTGCCTCATAACTTGGACCCCTGACTGATTTACTTCATAGTTCAGTGAAATATTTTGGCAACCAGGATGACAGACCATGCATCTGGCTCTTCATAGAGGTTAAATTGGGACTTATTTTAAGACAGCAGAAACTAGAGGAAACATCATATGGTGAAGTAAACTCACCTTCATCAAGGGCGTTTGGGGCATCATTTGTGATGGACTTAGGTTCCTGTGAGACTTCATGGATGGGTTCTTTGGCAGGGTAGTACTTTATGGTTGTGCTAGGTGTCCTGGTTGGTGTTGAGGCTGGCCTTGTAGTAGTAGTGACAGTAGTTATCCTGGTTGTAGATCGTGTTGTTCTTGCTGCTGTACTGTGATTTTGCCTCCAGTTATTCCACCATGGAAAACTATAAGCAACAAGTAGACCACCAAAAATTAAACTTTTTTTCTATTTAGCCTATTCAATTTCTTCAAACTTGTTTTATTGGTACCCCTTTCTTCTTGGACTCATGACATTTATTGCTCTGCATTCATGCCAGCATATCCTCAGTGGTGTATGACTCACCTTCGGCTAAAGGGAAGGACAGAAGAGGCAGTTGTTGGAGGAGATGAAGGTGGGACGTAAGTGGTTTGGGTTGTGGTGGTAGTGGTGGTGGTAGTCGAAGCTGTAGTAGGACGGGGTGATACCTTCCATCTGTTGTTCCAAGGATTCTTCCATGTTGTCGATTGAGTAGGCACAGGAGTTGTTGGCGTGACAAAGATTGGCCTTTGATGGGTGGCTGCCACGTCTAAGCCTATGCTCCCGATGCGATCAATCCCGTCAAACGTTTCAGTGAGGCTTGTGAAGTCCGGAATGGCATTCTCGTGTTCCAGTACACAACGGCCATTCAGGCAGAACTGCATGCAACACACCAGGGTCTTACTTCTCTCCTAGCTCGTCTTTTGTTGAAAGAGTGATGATCGAGCCAAACCTACCTGTCCATTCCCGCAGGGTGATCCCTCCGCTGCTGGTCGATATGAGACGCAATATCCAGATTTGGCGTCAAAGCAGAAGAGTTGAGCACATACCCTGTCGTCTTTCTGCAAATATTCAAAGGTGTAATGTGATGAAATTTAATTCATTGCATCTCGTGTGTCATGATATTGTAGATATTGTTGAGTTTACAAAGCAAGCAGATGTTCCTCTGTCCTTCCTGCATTGGGCATCCAAACTGAGCAGTTTCCCGGGCAATACTCGTGGGAGGCTCTCGTCTTCGTGTGGGGAGTTGTACAGACACGTTGCCGTATCTCCACTGTAAGAATGGCAAAAATTATTTGTATTGCTTTTTCCATCCGCCGTACGTAGTCGTGAGAAACGAAGGTCTTACTTGAGAAAATGATCGAATTGCTCAATGCTGCAAGGTGACCATTTGAAGCCCCTATCCGTATGTCGGAGGTCGCTCATGATGAAGCCGTCTTCCCAACGACATTTAGTGGCCCCAGGCCCCCCTAAATAACTGGGTGGTGGTGATCCATCGTGCACTGCTCCCAACCTAGAACATTAAGATATGCCCTCATTCGATCTATTCACGACTAGAGTGCCATTGTTCTCTGTTCCCTTTCGTGCAGTTCCTGCATGAGGGACTGCGAGCAAGTCCTCGTGACCGATACCCACTGTTACGCTTCCCTACTTGGAATGGGAAACAATAGAACGGGGAGATTGTTATAGAAAATGTTGCAACCTTGACAACTTTCCGTAGTCCTCAACCGATCTCGATATCACGTACACCTGCTGTTTTCGACGCATCTCCTAAACGAAAGACTTGCTTCATACAGGTGCTAACGTAGAAGTTTAAGGACGTGTGTCACTGCTACATCGCCATATCGTGGATGGTTTCGATTCGTGACACTTATTTCTCGTACCATTTTCCTCACCGTGATTCATAAGGATCAAGCTCCCACCGAAAGAGATATCATTCTCGGCCCTCTTTTGCTCTCCCCTTCTCGTCATCTGGTTGAAATCCTTTTGGCCGCCTTGCGGTCGGCGAAAGTCAGAGAATGTCGATTGCACAGAACCCGTTGCTCAGTGGTCATTTTCTCCTTTAGATTTTTCCAATTGCACGGAATCTAATACAATGATTTAATTGAAGAACTTACAGGTGGCCGACTTCGTGTGCGGCGACAATAATTCCTGAGAAGCCTCCTGTGTCTTCTACGATGGCCACGCTATTCACCTTCTCCAATCTCTTATTCACCACACATGCACCTCCCACGTAGGCAAATCCTACGTCAGGAAATGTCTCACAGTAAGGATTTGTTCAAGATCCGAGAGGGCGTGATACTGATTTTTATTGTGTCAAGGACATGCAATGCAAGTTTACGCTTTACATTTTCAGAATGTCTTCGATTGAATTTAATTGAACAAATTGATAAATATATATAAATAATGTTGCTGAAAATCCAGTACCAATATCTTAGGAATAGTGATGACAGAAGAAAGAAGAAGATGGTCACACCAAATACTGGTGGTGAAAGAGAAAGGACAGTTCGTAAAGAAGGAGGGGACCAGTTGGCGGGTTTCTTTCCTTAATCCCATCACCATCAAAACCCGGTAGTATACACGAAGCGACGAGAGGGTTACTCAAGGAGATCTGTTCCCAAACATTGCACGTGAAAGTGGTCTTGGGATCTCAGATCGGGCCAAGGAAGAGATGCACTCGGTCAGTGCGTGTGAGGTTGGCAAGGGCGTGCGAATGACGTGAATATGTCCGTTGCCGTTTCGCAACTTCTGACCCACATTCCCCCTAGTCTGAGGCTCCCGCCCTTTCTCCATCTCTCCTCTCTTCTCTCGTGGGCAGATGACATGCTTTGCCTCCCATCCGAGAGGGAAATACCCATTCATTTCTTCTCCGAACGGAAGATGCATTGAAAGACATAGAGCATGCACATGCTGTTTCTCTTACCTGTACGAGCTTCACGTCTACTTCTAAAGCAATCACATCTGCTGGAAGAAACAAAGGAGAAATGACTGGTTAAGCGTGCAGGGGTGAATCGGTCTCAGCCACGTGTCCTAGACACAACCAGACAGGCTGCAATGGAGATGTGCAGCGTGCTTGTCATTGTTGTGTGTGTCTTAAGTTGAGATGGTGCAAGAAGTCTCATACAGAGGTCAACAGTCAAGGACGGAATGTCATGCAAAGTGCCGTGCTTTGGTCATCTACTTGTGGATTGTCAAGCAACATTCTAGGGGTCTTTCCTCGTCACCAAGCAGTCAAGTCATGGATGAATCACACACCCACCTGCTGTCCCTCGATTGCATGGGCCGCCCGGCCGCTGTCGCCTACACATGTCTAATCTGCAAGTAAAAGTCAAAGAAACCGTACGTGATTATGAGCAAAGAGATTGAGGGCGGGGCGCACTCGGTTCGCTTCCTTCCGGGCTGTCTGTCCAGTTCGTGGCTAGGGAGGCGAAGGAACCCATACACATTGAGAGAGCCCCATTAGTGAAACGGAGAAAAGTTAGTAAGAAATGAAATCCCCTTTGCTCTCTTTTCCTTTCACAAGTGAGACCCACCAGCAGTTCCTTTAGTGCACCTCCCACTGACACGGCGACGACACAGGTCGTACCTAGATCGAAACGATCATCAGAGTATTTTCATTTTTCTTCTTGCGCTCTCTCTCTCTCTCTCTCTCATTGAGGGTATGAAAACGAATACACCTCTCCACAGCTACTTCACCTCGGTAGTTATGCCATAGAATGTCCATGAGGTGAGCCTGAGATCAAAATTGAGGACTCAATGGAAAATAAGGCAAACCGACGAGAAAGAGCCCAGCGATATGATGGGCACCACCGTTCGTTTGTGATGCCTTGAACTTTCTGTCTTGCAAGAACGGTCGAAGGAGTCTGTAATTCTGATTCCTTACCAAAAAAGATTTTCCCGTTGAGCACCTTTTCGAGTTTGTACTTGTATTTACCCTTTTTAATTCAATGTTAGCTATCATATGCCGGGATTGTATTTTATCAAAACAAAAACAAAATGTGCCACCAAGCTACTGTTGCTAAAATGTGCTATCGCTCAATATTCGATTTCATGTTACCCTGAAACAATTCTGCGAAATTGCTAAGATTTTAACAGCAAGTGAATCGTGATATTTTAACGTTCTAATCGACGATGAAAATTTGTAATAAACTTTTTTGCCATCCATTTCACTTTTAAAAATCTTCGTGTCACAAATATTAAGTTCATCATCCTAATAAATAGGCATACAGAAGAATGAGCGATATTATCGGATTTCTCAAAGTTTCAGCCTCTTACTATGTGTAAGCGCCTCTTAAATGTATTCCATTCCATGAGATCTGGAATTGACATATGTAATGTAATAAATGCATTTTAATTAAGGCCCACCTAGAACCACCATGACTCGAACCTGGTCACGAAATGAATCATTTTATCAGAGCAAATCTTGGCTTGCATGACGAATCGCTTCGAGCTGTTACGAACCGTGATTCGGTTCCGTACTTGCGCGTCACAGTGGCAGAACAGATTTGTTGATTCGTTGCATAAATCTGTGCGATGCGATCAGAAATAGTCCAAATGTTCTCGAAAACACTGAAGACGGAAACAGCTCCATTACATGAAGATCAAGAAGAACGAAAGAGTAAGCGCATTGGAAAGGAAGCAAGTTGCACAGCTTTATCATCTGCAAACCGGGTTCCTTCTAAGTGTTCATAGGACCATATAAACGAAAATCCAAGGATGCCAAATCAGGAATATACGCTGGACATGGAAGCATGGTTCACTGTTGCTGCAAATGAACCCGGTTTGCACGTGATTAGGGTATGCAATGTTGTGGAAGTGATTTCCTTAACAAGGGGGGAAAATCATGATGTGCCTGATCACCTGAAGGATGTAGAATTTATATGCATGTATATAGTGCCTGAAGCATTATTTGAACCATTGTAAATAATTTTCAGGAATTTTCTAACTTAAGACAAAACCGAAGGTAAATACGAAAATGATTCGAAAGAGTGCTGTCCATTTTGGGAATTGGGAAACAAAGTTTGGAGGGGAAATTTAGGGTCATTTGGAGGAAATCCGGGATTTGGGGGAATTTTGGGATGAGGAGTACAGGAATAAATGGCATTAATTTTGACTTTAGTAGAAATTTTAATTCCACCGGGAATTATTTTCTTCTATCGTTGAACATAAAATATCGTAAATATCTAATTGGAATTCAGAAACTTTTACATCGTGAGCAAATTGATTCAAGACATGACTTGATTGAAGATATCAGCAATGGCTGATAAGATGCTAGTACCTTCAGTTCCTTCAAATGATCATTCAATGCATATAATATTTCCGAGCCATGTCTCCAACAAATGATTCAACGCGTTCAATGTTGGCTCGATGTTTTTTCTCTCCAAATCTCTCAGAGTAGAAGTCTCCTGGCAGCATGATATACATTCATAGGATTAATGGACCATTTCATAATTTTTTCAAATGATAAACATCCGACAGGGGCCGATATCTGCAATTCACATCTTCCATATATTCGTCTTTCTTGCGAGCAAAATAATATGAATTTCCAGTTGACCTTGAAGTAAACGGGCGGAAGAGTTCAAAATCATGTTCCAATCCAATCTGACATCTCTGAATTAAGAGCTAGTCCTGGGATGGAATTTCATGTAGGGGGAATCTACGTAAAAATATTAATTCTACCCCCTATCTCTTGCTACACTCTCCTGACCATCAGTTACCATTCCCATACATCAAGTCAGGAATAATAAATTATATCAGAATCATATATCAATTAGATTACTATATCAAGTTCAGTTCCCCATGCTTCTCACATTTCCAATGAGAAATTCCTGCTTTTCGATGCTCCTGAAAGTATTTATTTCTATTATAGCTGAAAATTCTATTCGATTCGAGATGCTAAGAAAAACCATCCTGAAATTTAGGAGCCTGGATAATAATAATAAAAACTGATAAGGATTCGATTCTATTAAAATCTTAATCGCGTTCATCAATGCTCGTGACCTCCCATAAATTATGTTTCATTAAAGGGTGCCCAGACTTGTGATTATTATCTATGGTCGTGTCAATAGCAAAAGTGAGAACCAGCTCAGGCTTTCTTTCTGTCTCTCTTCCTCAGCATCGTGGACATTCCAGGCAATATTCAAGGTGTTCAGTAAGTCATGCACCATAGGGAAATTTAAATGGCAGAAATTTTTTTCCCAATGGATGTCGAGTGATTGTTGCCAGAAGACACCGACAGCTTGAGCACTTGTAATGAGAAGAGCATTCCCTATGGTGCTTGACGTAATAAACACTCCGTCACATGAAAGGAAGATAATTTTTTTTTTTTGGGAGGACGAGAGCAACTCAGTTTCCGCATTTCCTACCTGGTGATGGCGACAGCGATGTCATAAGTTGGCAGGCGCCTTTCCACGAACAAGTACTTGCCCATGTCCGTGAGTGCAGCTGCAGAGTCGATGGCATCCAGTCCTACTTTGTTCCTCTCCAAGTACGGAGTCGCATCCCGGCCCTGCAACAGCCAATCGTCAGCTCTCATTGCAATCTTCTGTCTTTTGTATCAAGAGCACAAGCGAAAATGTTCGTCCTAGAGGATGACTATGTAACCAACGGACAAGCAGCTCGTAGAATCTTCTCGTTTTATTTTCTTTTTTTTTTTTAAATCTGTTTAGAAGGGAATTTTGACGACCAACTAAGATTGGGACTAAGGGACTAAGATTTCATTGCCTCTCCGTGAAATCATAAAAGAAAGAACCTCTAACTGTTCTCCAACGGGCAGAATGGTGACAGTGGACCCACCCGAAAGACGTATCCTTTGAACTGTAGGAGCCGTAAATGGGAGAGCACGTGTGGGCCCTTCGTCTGACTCGGAGTCATACGTCATGGGTGCGTGACTCTTTTGGGAATGAGCCCCACTCGGACATGGGGTCCATGTGATATACACCGACACAGAAAATGCCTTGAACTCCCCCATTCCAGCCTTGCTTTTGCATTCACTTTCCCTTTCATCATGATTTCCTGTTGCTCCTACTGTACGCACAGAGCGTTTATCCCTAACTTCCTACAGTTTCTCATTTTGCAAGTAAGTCTTCCAATGCCTATTAAATATTTCTTTCGTAGAGGAGGAACGGGTACAGCACTTTCACGTGTACGGGGCTTTGTTGGCCGTACTCGTTGGAAACAGGCCGCCACTAGCCAGAGGCATGTTCTCAAGGGTGTATCATCCCTGAAGGCAGAAGAGAAACTAATCTCGTCCAAATGGTGCTTCTCTCAACCAGCTCTCGCCAGCTTTCACAGTTGCATGTCTATGACCCAAATGAGAATTTATGGAAGAAAAAAAAAAGGGGAAAATAGTAGCTCACTCACCCTGGAGATGATGATTCCGGCTATGGAAATCCGGACCTGGGGACCCTCGATAAGTTTGTAACGCAAGTCTACTCCGTTCCAAAAGGATACAAAATACTTCTTCACGTTCCTGTTATCACCATCATGCAAGCTGCAACAAAGGGGAGAGTTGGTTTCAGTCAGAAAATTTCTTACTGCAAATCGTCTCGATCAGCAGCTCCAACCTTTCACCATGTGCGAAAAGCGATAATCTTTCGTATCCCGAGTTTTTCTCACAAACGTGAAGAAAGGAAAAGAAGGACAGAGAAGCTTCATATCTCTCAGGGCTCTCGCGGCACGCAATCCATAAAGCGGTTCAAGGACGCAAAGGAATAAAGAGCATGGCTCTGGGTGTTTCATGCCGGATATTTAACCGCAAGGCTCATCAGCGAAGGACTCACATGTATCCGTCGTAATCGACGATGACTAAGATCTCAGGATAGATCACATAGGGTGCAGCAGCTCGCTTCAGCCGGGGTTTCCCATTCATTGGAATTCGGTCCGGTTCCATCCAAGCTGTAGTCAACACATCAAACGTCACCAATGAAATTTACCATACGGGACGCCTGGGGTCTTGCCAAATGAAAGTCTTCAGGTGAGTGGCCCTTATGAGCAAAATTTGTCGAAGTATTTAATGTTTTCATTTTTGGAAGAGCTGGAAATTTCACACAGACAAACGCCTCAGAAAATACAAGACAGGCACCAAATTTAAAATAATATTCAGCACGTGGCAGAAGTATGGTTGATTCGGGAGGAAAGTTTCTTTGTGGACATTGTACAAGATTCCACCATGACCAACATGCACGAGGTGGCAATGCTAACTTCCCTACGCTAAGTCAATCTTTGATCTTCGTGACCTTGTAGACGAGACGAGCCCGCTACTTTCCTCTACCAGAAAGATATCATGATATTCCTCACGCATGGAGTGAATTTCCTCCACTAAAAAGCGTCTCCGATGAGGGAAAGGAAATGGCCAGACCGTAGTCAGTCGTGATGTCGGGTTGGGACCTCTTGAAGACGACGTGCAATCCCCGCCTGGTTTCCGTGAAATTCTTCCGAGAACGAAGAGTTTTCATGGGGAAACCATCTGGGGAGACCACGTCGTCGACGAGATTTTCCTGTTCATCGAGGAAAAGTTCGTCATCGTCTTCGTCATGGTGATGTTGCGAGTACTGGCGTTTCACGCTGTCCGGTGCCGGACGAATGACTAGCTCCGTGCCGATGGTCCCGTCCTTCGAAAAAAAAAATAATAATAATAAAAAAACGAAGATAATGCTCTTAATCAAGATGCAGGAAAGAAACGAACCAGGAGAAGGGACCCATCTTGAGGATGCCTGTCGACGAGCAGAGCTGCTTCTCGGTGGGTGTCTTGATACAGTTCTCCGAGTTCGCCGTGCTCCTCCTGTGAAAAAGTCACTCCTTTCATGTCTGAACTTTTTTTTCTTCAAATCTCTTCCTCCATATGATTTTCCCCCTCAATGCCTGCCAATATGTGTGCACTAGAGTGGAACCCGTTTGGTTTCCACGATGGCGTTATTCCCAAGGTAACGCCCAGAGGATATGCTCTGCCAAGCACACCTGATCCCAGCCTTGAAACATCATTAGACATCTCACACAAAGTGCACGATCGGCTTTCCCCCCTTCTCAATCTATCTTTCCTGAGCAAGGGGTGCCGTGCCTCTGGCATTGACTCGAGATGGGTCAGGTAAAAGTAGTCAAGGAAAGGCCTTGAACACGAGGAAACCAGCCATAGAGATGGGGCCAATTCAGAGGGAAAACAAGCCTCTTTGGGGTCGACATTGTTTTTTCCTGACAGGAAAAGCCTTTCTCTTAGACTCGTTACTCTGAACCCAAACAGATAGTTCCTCTTGACGGGAAAATACGGAATGCTCAAGCCACAAAAATGCCACTTTCACCATTACCAAAGAGAGAGACAAGACTCACAGGAGGCACAGGTTCGTATTGCACATGACCGTCTTCCTTAGTATCAGCCCAGAACATCTGCAGCTCTTTGGCTTTCCTCAGGAGATCGTCATTCCTCTGAAGCCTCAACTGCATGTCTTCTCCAAAGGGGCGAAGATGGAGGATGTGATCTTCCTCAGAGCTATCAGCTTCCCGCTTCCTCCGTCGTATACTCCGTACATGCACCACATCGTATTCTGGCACTGGAAAACAACGAAAAAACAGATACATGACGGCAAAACCAACTCGATCAATCAATCTCAACGGGTGGAATCTCCCCCTGGAGATCCGCGTAGATTTGCACGAATCGGGGTCAATAAGTCATCTCGCCGAGTCGTGCCGTCCATCTCCCAACCCTCAAGGACATTTCCCTGACCAGGTCAATTTTTTTCCATTTTTTTTCCTTTCCAGGCTATCCAATTAAGATCTGGGATCAAGATAAAGGTCTCCAATACACATTATGGTTCTTGGGAACCTCAGCAAGTGTCAGCAACTGGCCTTCACCTTTACGATTGGACCCTGGCTCATCCTGGGGCTCTCTTCCTCCCTGCGCATTTGACTTGAAATAGCCCAGCTACAGTAGATATGTTATTCACCTATTAGAGACAGAAATAACAGCAGCTGAAAACAGGACGAGATTACCTCAGTCAAGTCCCGGATATCGGAATATGTGGGTAATGACGGTGTCAGTCACCCCGTCCGCATTATTTACGCATCATATATACTCTATGCTATGACGGTTTGCATGATATTGATTTGGCATAGCAGACATTGAATGAGTTGGTCACGAGAAGAAAGCGTGAGAGAGAGTTAAGATTGGTAGTCACACGTGGCTCTGGGATAGCACGGACGGGACGCGACCTCCTCGTGTCAAGGCCCTGTCTCATCAAAACACCCGCCTCCAGCATTACCCCCTCATGCGATTATCTCTCTCCGTCTCGATCCAGCCACGATTATCCACTTGAACGAGGGACCCATTTTCGCCTTTCACCGAGCCGTTTCGTCCTTCTCCATTGGGTTTTACCCGCAACAAAAGCTTTTATTTTACTCCCTCTGCGGGAAAAGTTTCATTTTCATCGTTACGGGGAGCTACGTACCGAAAGACTTGCGAGTCATGGGGATGGAAGCAATTTTCATCGCCATGTCTTCCCCTCTCGTAATTCGGGGAGATTCGTTCCGGTTAGGATATACAGTAGAAAGCTCTTTCTGTAGTCTGCAGGCTCTGTGAATGGGAAAGGCCATGATATATGGACTCCCCAATTCTGACCTCATCCCCGCGATTGAAATATCACCTTTCTCCCCTCTGATCTCGGGGAAACGGATTGCGCAACACGTCCATAACAACGTCTGGAGACCGCACATGTCCCAGATAATGGAGACAGAGAGTGCAAGAGTTGAAGAAATGATCTGGAATTAGGACTCTCAGAATGAACTAGCCTTGACTCGATTAAATAAACGTTCTGAAGGGGGGAGAAAATGCGAAATGACACTCACCTTCATCATGAGATTCAACGTGGAATACAGATCGGAGCTCCCGTTTGCTCATCACGTGGTGGTGCTGAAAAGAAAGAGGAATTTGTCATCTTACTAATGATCCATTAGTTTACTTTTTTTTCTTGCCTTTGTTGTAAGCCATGGGAATCAGGAACTTCTAAAGCGTGCAAGGGTACGAGATGTATGGGAGTGATACATATAAAACGGGAAAGTAAAGTGATGCTCCATGGCAAAGCGACGAGGAGATAATTATGGTCCTTTCACGCTCCATTCCTTTTTCAAAGGAGACGAGAAAATGGGACCGCCCCGAATTATTCTTTTTGTCCCTCGACGAGAAGACGATTATTCAAACTCCTGCTGCTATACAATTCCTGTATTGTACTCTAGTTTTCCTACCATCTAGAAAACACCACAGGCGAATCGATTCCGCATGCTTGAAAAAGAAGGGGATAAAGCCTTGGCGAAATGGTGAGAGAAAGCATTCGAATGTCGTGCGTGCGGGGGAAAGGAGGGAAAAAGACATTCGGCGTAGATAGAAATGAAGTGGAATGATTGACGAGGGCCAAGGTCGGTCGAGGGGATTCACTTCCGGTCCCTGCCTATGAAACTCCACGCAAGTTCAGGTGGACCGGGAGCGGAGAAAGGACAGGAGGAATAACGGGGGAAAGCAAAGCAAGGGTTCTCGGAGCGAGTCCCCCATGGGAAATTCAGAGATGGCGAGAACGGGGAGGAGACGGTGATGAAATACCAGACAAGACGAGACGAGAGTGAAAGCAAATGCTGAAAAACCAGTTTTATTTTCATTCTCAGGATTCAGGCCGATCTTTTCCCCCTACCTCATCTCTCATTTCACGGTCACTCCATTACGCCAGCGCCACCTAGATTCGGGTGTCTCGATGATCCAGCTGAATGGAAGTGATGCACGTCTGACTTTTTAATTACAAGTGGAAACAAGTTCACGTGAACTGCTCTTTACGACATCATCGGGAGAACTCGATCACGCAGTAGAAGGAAAATGGAATCGCCTATTTAATCTGTCTTCTCTCTCCCTTCATTGACGTGCTGAAGGAGAAAGCCCGAAAGCTTATACATGGTTACAGCTGAGATAGAGGAGGAGAGTGATGCAATTCCAAAAAAAAAACAATCGAGGCATGATCGAGAACGTTGCCATGTTGCATGGTTCGATGAGCTACAATTTAGGACTTGGATGAGCCACACTTAAAACCTTGCTTTGCGGTTCATGCATGTCTCGAATGACGTAACACAGAAATTGTGATTCCGCACGGGAAATTTATCCGCGGATCGAGGTCAGCCGGAGACGTCGTTGTCTCGGAAAGGAGCCATCAATGATGAAAGGCCTCTCATGAAGGCTCGGGTCCTTCAACGCGGCGTGTGTGGTATGCTATGATGGCTATCCCGGCTTGAAATATGAAGGCTTTCAAGGGAAAATGGAAGACACGAACTGCAATTAACCCTTCGCAAGGAAGAGGAGGCCGTGAAATCGGGACGACGGTCATTTGTGACGAAATGAAGTGGCAAAGATGTTGCAACGTCAAGGCTATCCCGATTGGCCGAATCCAGAGGAAGCCCGATGGAGACAAATTGATGGCCGTGGATAACTGGCAATGGTTGTGTATAATGACCCTGTCAACGCACGAATCAAACTTCGACCTCTGCGGGTTCGATTCGACGTCACTTGAATTCCGAACAAAAACAAAAAGAAAAAGAAAAAAAAAGATAACAAAGGGAAATCCGACCGGTGCAGATACCGGAGTTGACCGCTATAAATGAGAAATCTATGGAAAAGATCTAAGGTCTGTGCCTGAGTGAATCCCGCCCTTCAGCGACCAGTTATCAATCCGTGCATGTGTATGCCTCTATGGTATTGATGAGAGGATGCAGCGTCGTTATGAAACCACGGGGAGGGCATCGCCCATCGCCACGGTAACTTTCACTCAACTCCATCCACGTCGCCCTTTGCCTTTGCTTGCTGCCACATCCCTATCCCCCGGCATACAGCGATCACCGGGAATGTGAGAGGGCAGAGGTAGAAGAAAAACGCAGGACTCCTTCAAGGATTCTTTCCACAATGGAAACCTTCTTAATCCCCGGAGAGAGAAGAAGCGTCGGTTGGATGCACATCACATCCCAGCCGATAAACACACGTGTTTAGTAATGGCAGTTTTTATTCTCAGTGTCACGGCGGGATTCCCTGATTTTGGCTCATAAACCATCTTGTAGATTGTATACGAGAAGGAAATGCCTGTTTATGATGATCCATTCATGTTTTCTGTTTTCTTAACCTCGCATTGGAACCATTCGTAAACCCGGAAGACAAAGATAAATCACTTTCGCCCAACCGGCATGTGTTGGCAGTAGAGGGGATTCTACGATTTGAGAGTAGCGATTGCAAAAGTCCTCTTTGGCAAAGGAGTACATTGGAAAGGTGTTTCTGAACTGACATGGGGGCTATAGTAAATATGCAGTTGACGCCAAGGACAAAGGCCTCGCCTCCCACATTCTCCTTTACGTAACGACTCCCCGAGAATAGAAAACAAAGATCCCGGCATGGATGGAAGCCTTGCAAATGATACCGGATTGCACAATCTCCTTTTCTTTCATTTCTCGATTCCTGGTTATCGAAACACATTCTTCGGAGAATGGTTGCAGTCCTGCTTTTCGGGTATGCACAAGTGAAGCACTTTCACCAATGTCCTCGACATTTCCTCGAATCCCCCCCTCTGGAGATAATCGGTGAGCAAGGACCCGATTGTCCTTGGCAAAACAAAGACAATAAACCCAGCGGGTACGATACCCATAGCAGTCCACCAGGGGGGGGGGGGGATTGAATAAAAGACTTGACTCCGGAAATTCCATTGCTTTGCCTACAACCGTTTCAAGGTAACCAACATGGGCGACCCCAACCACGACTTTCCACTTAATACATTCTTATCATTTCCAGGAAAGAGACACCTGAAAATTTTCAGCTCGGTCGGCTCGAAATTCAGTGCAATCGAATACTAGCATCTGGGCTTGAGGAAAGGAGAAGTCATCGTGCACTTCCGTATTACGTCACACTGTCACTCAGCTGAGCTAGAGCTAAGCACGAAAAAATAGTCTCATATGATCTGCAGCCTCTTGCAATTATTTCGAAGAACACTCCGTCACGAAGTGGATACACGACTCATGTAGACTTGGCTTTAATGATCCATTCGTGCATTTGAGTAAGATACTTTCTACCTATTTTTTTCGTAAAGTTAATTTATTATTGATTATTCTGTGATATTCCTCATCTTTCCACTTAAAGGCGACTGGAATACTCTCGTGCGAAGATGAGGTGATAGAGATTTTTTACACGACTTCATTCATGTTCCGGGTTTTCATTCCTGAAAGATCCCCCTACCCTTTAATGGCGAAAGACGAGTGTACTGCTACTATATTTCATTTCCTTTCGAGACAAAAGCCTTTTTATGAGTATCAGTGAGCATGACTAGTTCCGTCACCTACCTGAAGATCAAGTGTCCCACGTTGTTCTCTCAGAATTAGTTTCAGACAAGGTTACATTTGACCCGCATTTTCCTTGGTACTTGTTGGCTATAAATATGATTTATCATGGTGAGGATGGTAATTTCATTGCGCGCGTATCCCATACAAGATTGGTTATGATTTGACTGAAATGATATCGGCATTAAGACGTTATCCGGAAAGGTTCATCCACAACACTCGTCGCAGACATTAAACTATATCCGTCTCGACTCATTAAGCGGAAGTACTTTGTCCGCCTTCCGGCTTAGCGGTAAGATCAAGGAATTACAACCAAGGTCAAAGTGACTCATCGGAAAAATGAAGAGCGGCTCATATCCATATCCACTCTAAACAATTGGAGAGATTGAGAACATGATGAATAGACTGACGATAATACCTTGCCTTCTGCCTTTCCCTCGAGGGGATTTATTAAATGTGCCAGGGATAAGCACGGAATTTTCAGGATGGCGTTCTTTTATTCTTAGCCAGTCAACCATATGGACGAAGCGGAGGAGGAACGAACGAGGAAGTACGAAAAAAAAAAATCCTTCAGTGCCAGAGAGAAGAGAAAGTCAACGTGACTGCTTCGGTCTAGTCACTATCGCTTCCAACAGGTCACACGCGTCTGAGATAGGCCTTCCTACCTACGTAGAGGTATGTCTATCGTGCAGCTCACTTCCTCCTCTTTCCAAAACGGCCATATCAATCCATCATTTGTCTTTCTCACTCCGCTCTCCGATATAACTCAAGGGAAAAGGAAACGGGATGATAATGCGCGCGTGGTCTGGAGACTTCTACGCACGCATCACTATGGAGACTGATGAATACCGAAACCACAAGAGGGTGAAGGGAAAAAAAAGAACAGCCAGACAGAAATGAATGAATGACTCACTTGTAATTTTGGGGTTGCCCCTGCGACCAGGCCATGAAGGAAGAGAAGGACGAAGAGGCCTGTTGCGGTGAACACAAGCCCTGCTCCGCATCTGATCTTCTCCAAGTGCAAATCAACTCCCATGCCGCTGAAAAACGAAATGTATGCATGCGATTGCAATAGAGTCTAAACTGTAAACTGGTTCTTGCTTTTCCTTCGAAGGTGAGAGAAACGTTGTCAAATATAATTTAAATCGTTTGTCGTTTCGATATTAAAGAAAAAAATGGCTCGTGCCATGAATAAAGTCAAGGAAAAAAAACATGCTTGAACTCTTCTTTTTTTATTGTCTGGATATCATTGTGACAAAGGATGCGATGCAGAGCAAAGAGGAGTCGTGACTTCAATAAAGGAATCTTCCTTCGTCTGATTCTGAATGCGGATACTAGGCGGATGCATCATATGCCGCCTACACCTGCAATCGTGACTTGATATCCGGTTGAGGATATCCGAAGGTCTATGAAACCCTCCGCTCTTGACATGACAGCACCCTTCGTGTGTTCATAAGGATTGATGAAGGACCCAAGCGAGAGGAATAGCGATGTTCTTGGGTTGCGTAACGAAGCAGTCCTCATAGCAGAGGTAGGCGTACTGCATAGAATAGATGCACGAAAGGAAGAGGGCAAGGTGATAATGGACGACCTCGGCGGGGTGCGGAGCGTGAAAATGCAGTCAATTCAGTGGAACGACCAAGGCACAGGCGCTTTACTCCATCTGATACCATGTCACATAATAAGGACCAATTTCCTATGGAGTTCGTGAAATCTCGGACTACCCATTCTGCTCCAATTTCTGTATCTCCTCCGTCTGGGAACATCCCACTACCAGCAACTTGCTGATACTCTTCTTGTAAAACAAATAGCTGAGTTCGCCAGTTTCTTGCCCTTTGTTCTCTTGAACTTTTCGTTGTGAGTGGTTGTGGCCCGAATTAAGTCCGGCTCCATTTCATTGGCAACATTTTCCAGGGAGGCATCGAATTAAACGATCGTTTCGTAACGAGATACACGCGCGGTTAACAAAAATGGGTCAATCTCTAAATGACGAGTTCACATAATGACGGTATTACGGTATCCATTGCGTTCGACTCCATGGATTAAAGATCCGTTGTTTGACGGGTTCCCAACCAGTCAACCTCGTAGACACATACAGAAAATGGGACAGCCTGTCCCGACAGTATTCCAATAGCAATATATAGCTCAACTCCGTGGTGCATTCGTCCATATCTACAGGATGAAAATTACCCCTTCCCCCTCCCCTTCTCCCAAATTGTAATGCCGCTCAAACTTGACACCCCAATGCTTATTATCGTTAATTCAGGTTTCCGTAGGACTCCTGGAAGAAAGCCGCGGATCTTTCCTACATCCTAAGGATTTATCACGGTCATGTTGGGTCAGAAAAAAATTTGTTGGGCAAGCCATTGTTTGCTAGCCTACACAGGATGGAATACAGCGCTGACGCTTTCCCCAATTCATGACGATCGTTACTTTTCACCGTGGATACTTTCATCCTCAGTCAGCCTGACCAAGGTCGCTGTATGAAATGGAGTGTCCGGTTCGAATGGAAAGTGAAGTGAAGGGGACAAACATTGGACTCATGTGAAAGTGAGAGAAAACTGCGGATTCATGGAAAAAGAAACTCCTTCTGCTAATGACGTCTGATGATGATGATGGTCGTGATGGCGAAGAGGGGGGACAAAAAAACCTATCCTCGACCTTTCTTTTCGCGATAAGGATTTAACAAAGAGAGAACGTTGTGTAAGAAGCGGAAGGACCTCGACAAAAATATCATAGTTGTGAAGATTTTCCTTCCTCAAAGGTCCTGGCCCCTTCTTGACCCCTAAACTCTCCTCCCCCTCTTCCATTTTTTTCCCCTCTCTTCCTCTTGCTATTCCATCTAATATCCTTGAGCGTGAATCCTCGCGCTTGCGAGCATCCACGCAGCGGAGTCCTTCGAAGGACGATCATCTACGTACGACCTCCAATAAATATCCCCTCATTAGACCCGTATTCCTCTCCCGTGCAAAGCTGTTCAAGCACGCTTCCGTTCATGGTCCGGAAAATGTATCGGATAAGGATCTCTACCAACTAGACGATTATCGTCGTCGGTGCATGAAAGAAAGAAAGAGGGGGGGAGAGGCATAATTTAACCTCTGTACCAAGCACTTGGACGTACAAGGTCAGGTTCTTCTTTGTCTTCTGGAGTTTCAGGGACCTCCAAGTCATACGTCACGAGATAAATATGCTAAAACATGCTGGAAACAAACATTCTCACGGCTCAGTATTGTTGCAAGATTTCCCACAGGGTCACGCACTTATTGGAAGCTGACATCAAACCTAATTTATATTTTTATTTATAAATTGATTCCTCATAAGCAAGATACTTCGAGGTGACGTATTAATATAAAATGTTCAATGGAAAATTGGACTGACTTCATTTGCATAGTCAGTGATATGTACCTGGGTTGCTATGATCATTCGCAAGGGGAAATCGATCCTTATTTAGAGCATGCTGTCGACATTGTACGCAGAAAAATGCTCGGAAATTTTAAATTGTTGAAAGAATTTGGACCAGGGAAAATGTCAGCAGTGTGAAACACCAATAGAGCTAATTAAGCTGGAATATTCCAATTGCAGGACACTGATTTTTTAAATGCAGCAGATGATGCATACTTGCAGCAGTTTGTCAAGTCTCCAATTAGAAGCACTTCAGTTATTGATTATGTTTGCAAATCACGATAATCTGGTGATTGATCTTAGAGACCTAGTATCTTAGTATTAGAGACCTGTATTCCGGCTGATCATGATCTATGTGATAAATATACAATCTGGGCTTTGCCATGATTCTCTAGATGTAGCAGCACGCTTAAAAGTTAAGGTGAGTAATTGTAATTTACAGAAGAAACCATTTTAAATTATGCAGGGTAGTTCAAAAGTAATTTTCTGCTTATAACTGGGAAAATAAAAGCAGAAGTGACGCACCAATGAGATCTCTGCAAGGTGACTGGCTAATTACTTGAGAATATATTTCAAGAGCGCATATTATATTTTGTCGAGCGCTATATTGGGGATTGACAGGATTGATGGTGTATGCTATTTATTTATTTAGATTTTTCTAAGGCATTTGATTCAGTTCCTTGCAAAAGACAACTTAGGGAGCTATCATAATTGGTTATCAAAGGCAAACTTTCGACAATGGACAGAGGGTTGGCTGAGTTCGAAGCAACAGGAGTCAAAGAGTAACTATCGGTGAATTCATTTCCCTCAGCTACTGTAGTCCCTAGCGGGATTTCTCAAAGATCTGTTCTTCAACCGCATATTTCTCACAAGAAATGAAAGCATTAGATCACCCCAGCAGAAATTAAAATGTCCGCACCTCTTAATTATGTGGTGCCATTGCAGAAGCACTCCCAGTAAATTCATTACTCCTGAGCTCGTTGTGACTGGCAGTGGTTGTGGCAAACTCTTCTAATTTTCTGACGAAGGAAGCATCTAGGAATGGCGTGGTTTTACCGAGTTTGTTCAGATTTGCTCAGAAACATGTACCTGCTCATAAATTACATAGCAATATTAGACCTAATAGTCACTGGACAAAATAATTTTTACTTTTCACCTTCGCACCCAGTCGATGCACCGGGTACAAAGTCAAAGACTAAACAGGAAGAGCTGCTCAAATTGAGTTCGTTGCAGAAACTTTATCCGCATGATGAACCAACCCTAATATGTCCACATTTCAATGCTAAAATTAACATAAATAAAATATTTTTATAAAGCCATTATGAAAAGCAGGAAAAGTCTTTATATCGTAATTACACAGTTGGATTCATGAAGCAGTGGCTTTGTTTTAAATTATTGTCAATTTATTCGTTAGGTCGTGGTTTACTGTTGTTTGTACCTCAGAATCTTGAACCCCACGTTCAAGATTCAGGATTTAAAATTCAGGGTAGGGATAAAATAAATACAATTTATGGATTAATAAAATTTCAAGATTCATTGTTCGGCATTAACTACATAAGATGCTTTGAATTTTCCAAGCATCTATTTAAGATGCACCTCGTATTACGTTGAAATCGACCGTTCCAGATCTCAGAGACAAAGACAGCAGAAAGTCTTGACATAACGTGAGTGGCATCGGTGATTTGAGCAAGGAACGAAACAAATTCTCTTAGGGGTATACGCGATGCGGCGAAAACATATCGAGGGGGTGGGAACCTTTTCAGGCTTGCTGAGGAGCGATAAAGAGCTCCAAGGTGAGTCTGTCTCCATCACGGAGTAGGCCTTAGGGCCAAGACGGACAGGGGGGGGGGGGAAGAAATGTATGCGATGGGGAAACAAAAGCGAAAATGAGGGGGGAAGGGAAGGCTCTTCTTCCGTGCCAGATTGCCAGGGTCAGGAAGGAAAGGGAAAGTGGACCAACCACGTTGGGTCCGCTCGTATACGTCTTTTACTCACATACCAACTAGTATAAGTACTTTCATAGCCTGTGCTTGGATTTCCGGGCATGCGATGCAATGCAATGCACAGACAGGTTTCCTGCCACGTAACATCTGCCTCGTTGAGGTCGAGAAGGTCGGACTATTGAGTGAAAGTCAGGCAGTCACCAACCTGGCTGAAAGACGATGATGCACGAGGGGGTTTGCCAGGATTCCCTTTCCAAAGAGAACGTCTTTTGTCACCGACACTGGACGTTATTCTTTCGTTTTTGCCACGCGGGACACTCGGGTAGAACACCAACCAGTAAAAGTGGCAAATCTCAGCTCCCCCAAGTACCAACCCGTACGAAAGCTCAGCTGTTTTCTTCCTCTCTATCTGAGATATAATCAGCCCCTTCCGTATCCAATGGCTCTGTACTCAGGACGTAATGGAACTGGGGAACTCCCCGGTAACCCAGACGAGCTTGGGCTTCCCCAGTTACGAGCTGTGAACTAGGCTTCTATCCCGGCCAAGTGACTCGGGCCAACTGCAGCCAAGCGGCCTCTGATGTTGAAGGACAAGAGCGCCCGAGCTCTCTCTCTCTCTCTCTCTCTCTTTCTTCCCTCCCCCCCCCTCCCGCTTCCAGTTTTTCCCTCCTTCCTATGTGTACTGCACCCACTGGCCTTGGGAAAACGCGGCATCTTCGAACTGGGTATCTCAAGCGCCAGAGAGAGAAAATGATTAAGAAACAACGACGTCATTCGACCGTATGGTAATTTCTTCATCAAGAACCTGAAAAAACATCTCAGATGCATCAAATTTAGTGAAGGAATCTCATCTAACACAAATCGAAAGTAATTCATTCATTGACGTGCGTATTGAAAAGATGTAAATGCGGTAATGCTTTTCCAAAATAGGAAGAGAGGGGGAAGAATATGAGAAAGAAAAAGAGGTGTGGAAGAATGAGAAAAAAATAAAAAGAGGTGTGGAAGAACGCAGGTGGCTGGCTAGAAGAAATCTCGTTACGGGCAATTCTTTCCACCTGCATAGAGGTACGAAAACCGGCCGTCTCCTCTACATGAGCACGTTAAACATTTCCCATAAAGGGTGCATGGATAACAGGAAACGGTGATGTCACAATGAGGCCGACCGTGAGTACGACTCGGTCATGTTATTTACAGTAGAAATGCCATGTGAGGCGTAAAAAAGAAAAAAGCAAGAATCAGAGGCTATTGGAGCCTCACGGGCTCACGTCCCATCTTTATTCCCTACGGCCAAGCCACTCACTTTCTACCCCAACCCTGCCTTCACTTTTCTTTTCACTCACCCAAGCCAATTAGATGCTCGATGGACCTTGAAAACACAGTCTCAGGCGCACCGAAAGTGGAGGAGAGAGAAAGCCATGACAACAGTCACCGTAATCTATGTTCTCCGTTGGAAACTACGTGAGCTTAGAAACAATGCTACTGTAAAGCCAGTCATCCACAGCCAGCCTTTCCAGCAGGCGCCTATTCTTCAACGCGGCGTGATTTATTGTCAGGTACCAATTGCATCATCTCGGGGGGGTTGCTATTCAGTCTTGATGTTTCACGAGGCGACGAGAGGAAAAAAGGGAAAAACAATGACCGGCGTCTTTCTTCATCGGATCGTGTCGCAAATGTAGGTCGCGCCTTTATTCACACCTGACAGGGACATATGGAAATCCGCAGTCACACTGGAATCATAGGCTTTCGAGAACACTCAACTTTGTCGAACGAGAAGGCTCAGAGGCATGGAGAAAGTCTCTTTTTTTTTCGGGGCCCCCGATCGCGTATCGAAGTGTAAAATGGCTCGTGCCAGTTCGCTCTTCGTTTTCCGGCTCCATGTCTAATGTTCCATCGAGAAGCACGGGAGGAACTTTCTCGTCGAGGTGAGAAAGGAAGTCGGAGTCAGTAATAATCTGACCGGATCCTACTTTCACGAGTCGTTCTCTATAGGATATGCATCTGTCGCCCGTATCCCCATGCCTGGGCACGTTTTTTTCCGCGGGTTTTTTCACTAGTCACCGTATTTCATCACTCACAGCACCGTTGGAACGGGAGTGAAGCACGTAACCCAAATATCCCTTTGAATAAGCGAAAGTTTTTCTTTTTTTTTTCACTCTTTTGGGTGTGGTTGTTGGGAATAAACCGCATCAGGATCGGCCTTCGATACGAATGAGAAATTAAGGCCGACACAAGTGCAAGTTCAACTCTTCAGTACGTATTTGTACCGCCACTCTACCAACTTCACCTTGACATGGTATCTAGGGCGATTCCCCTTCGTTAAGCAACGACTTCGTGCTCGATGGCTTCGCGACCAAATAACTTAATGAACCTTGACGGACCATATATGAAGATGAAGGCGAAGCGTTGAGAAACTGTTCAAAGGAGAGGAACCAATTAAAGTTCTGGGAATAAATCTCTAGTTGATATATCCGAAAGGGTGGAACGGGGTGACGAGCCGACATTGCAAGAGATGCATGATCGATGGGCCGAGATTGCAGCAGACGCATTTCCATGCACATGGTGTAATCCCTTGGTTTTCGGCCATGCAAAGGTCAAACGGGAAAGGCAAGGCCTTTGCCGAGATGGGTCGAAATGAAGGGATTCTCGGAACTATTGAGGCCACCCAGTGCATGACTCACGCTCACGAGTTGCCTTCACAACCCTCCGAAAATTGGAGACGAACTGTGAGGTCAGTGTCAGTCAAGTAGGTTCATTTCCAGACGAGAATTTTCAAGCTTTGCGACGTTGTTGATATGGATGGTGCCCAGATTGATTTTTTTTAAAAAAAGAAGGAAAAAAAAAAGAGTTTGAAGAAGGAGAAAGAACTCATCTCATTTCATCGTGGAGAAAGGGAAGAGACAATGGGCGGTATAGTGTCTCGCATTTTTACGCCTGATCAATCCTGAAAGGAAAGCTTAGAAGCTTAATTGAGAACCTTGATTGGAAGGTGACGCAGGACCGACTGCCTTCCCCTCGGGCTACGTTGACCCCCCTCCCTTGCTATGTCACAATTACCTGTGGTTACCCTGGTATCATTTCTTGCTGATGTTGTCACCTTGCACACGGATATCGCCATTACTATGTGGAAGAAAGCCTGTCCTGCACGGAAAGTAATGATCAGAAACTTTTGGAATTCTGCCGAAAGTTCTAGTAAGTGTTAGGAAAAGAGTCCTGAGGTAAAGGTCTCCTCCTGTTCTCTGTTCATCTTATCGGTACCCTCACAGGTGTGCTGGGACGTGAATGGAATCCTGAATCCAGCGATGCACAAGACCCTCTAAGTGGGAATTAATGAGCAAGGAGTGTCGCCGATTCGTCTCCCTCTTTTCGGACCATTCCAGCTCTTACTTTAATGTAGTGAATGGAACCGAGGGTGCTTGCTTACCTGGTGGATTCGCAAAGATGTCATAACTCTTGTCGCTCTTGCATGGAGAGACGCGGAGAGACGTCGTGGACACTGAATTCCTCGGAATCCCCCCTCAACGGCGACTGTTATCAATTCCTGAATCCCCCACGAACACACGATGTGATGGGTTGGATGGCGATGGTCATTGTAGGGAAAGCGTCTCCTTCATTTCCCACTCGAGACTGAAGGGGAGAGAATGCGGTGGGAGGGAGAGGGATAACTTCTATGAGTCCGAGTGGGAACAATAGAAGGCGCCGGATCTACGGATGTGGCTCCATAATCCCAAAGATCTCACTGATTTCGACCTCTCTCTCCCTTCTACCACACAGAGCGCACTGACGGGGTAGCTGGAAAGGGGACTGTGATTTTCAATTGAAAAAGCAAGAGACAAGAAAGAGACGCTTATTACGATGTGTAAGAAAACAAGTAACAGCAGCACTCTTTCGCCCTCTCCCACTCGAAGTTGATGATGTGGATAGGAGGAAAAGTGCAGACTGTGAACACACACACGATACAGGGCACGAACGTGGTCTCCTCCCAAGTAGGGCAGAAAATGGCTTGGGCGAGTGCAAAGCGGGCAGCCTTGCCTAGCTGTTGCAGCCCACAGCTCTCCCTTTCTCTTTTCTTCTCTCTCTCTCTCTCTCCCGTTCACCAATGAGAGCAACTGGAAGCCAAGCATGACCACCGACTTGCCATCATCCTCTATAATAATGGAAACTTCGGACAAATCCTTGCCGGTCCCTTTATAAAGACGTACCCGATAACCGCTTCCGGTCAACGAAGGGTGAAAACGTTCATATCAGTCCCTTCTTCATCGTTTCTGTTGAAAATGAATGTGTTTCTTCGAAAGGAGGAAGGAAGGAAAAATAGGACCCGGGGATTCCCCCCCACCATTCCCGCTGGAGCACGACTCACAAGAGAGAATAATGAGAAGCCCGTCAACTCAAGGTTGACACGTGACGTTTGAAGAAGACGCGTAATTCTGGTCTTAGTCGCTTATATAAGGACTCCGAAATTCCGTGTCCAACCGTGATGTCACATCGAAACGGAAGACGAATTAATATAGGGGCAGGAGGAGATGGACGGAGGAGAGAGGAACCAGAACTAGTTTAAGATAACTGGTTTACAAGTGAGTTTCGATATGAATCCAACAGACACGGGAGAGTGAAGGTAATTTTCCTCTACGCAACACAGCTGCGGTCAATGAGGGAAAATAAAAAAAATAAAAAGAAGAACGCGACTCTGCGGTGGGTTCATACAGAGGAGTCAGGATGTGTTGAACTAATGAGTGAGTCTTCCCTGAAGCGTTGTTCCATTAGGAAATACCCACCTCTCGGGACCTTCCAGGAAGGGAATTGGGAATCAGAACAGCACCACATCAGAACAATGGCACCTTTATCACGGACAATTCTCTATAGGTCTTTCTCGATGAACTCACCTCCATTTTGGTCTCTTTCAAGGAAGTTCAAACGCGAGGATAAATTGCGACTTTGAAACGGCATTGAGAGACGAAATTGGATACGGACAAGAACCCCTTTTGGCTTAATAGATAGCACTATTCAACCTTGGAATTCCGAGCATCCTCCCTTAGCCATGACAAATGAATGTTCGACGAAGAAGCCTTTCCCTCATTCAAGGTTTTCACCAGACCCCTGCAGTGCAAGGTGTCTCACGGACAAAGGGTATCATCCTCTTCCTCCCATCATTATACTCATGAAACAGGGAGGATGATGGGAAGTAAAAAATGAAGGGGTTGTGCAGAGAGAAAAGTCAGTATGATCCCTTCTAGTGAAGCATTCATGAGGCACGTATAACGACCATCATCACCACACATCAGAGAAAAAAGTTTCGCAACCGGTCCATGAAGGAGAAAGAGAGAAGGGGAAAAAAGGGGGGACGGGGGGGAACGTTAGTGAGTATCCACGTGGGTTTGTGGTTTTTCGCGTAGTGTCATCGAAGGGGTCTCGTCTGACGTCTCCCATCATTGGTCATCATCATTTTTGTTATTACAGAAAGTGCTTTCATTACGTCCTTGGCTTAACTGGACTTGGAGCCGTTTTTAAATGGACTTTGCCACCTACCTCTACTTTCTCTCCCCGGATATCCAACAGGTGAATGCTCAAATGATGTCGCTTTGATATCCCCCTCCTATTTCTCTCCATCACCTGGTAATCACCATCCGATG